AATAAATCTATGAAATATGATTTGTTCTAAAATTTAATCACATTAACCGTTTCTATAGAGTTTAGTAGATTGATATTGAATATAAACAAGGATAGATTGGTCCATTATAAACCCTCTCCCATTCATATTAACCCTAATCCCGAAAATCTGTTTATTTTGTTAATAAATCTCTGAAATATGATTTGTTCTAAAATTTAATCACTTTAACTGATTCTATAGAGTTCAGTCCATAATTGATGCAAAACAATATACTCGATATTGTCATAGATTTCGTTATAAATAAGATTTATATACTCATTCCTTTGCAAATTTTTTGTGGTTATTAGGATCCTGGACCTCGTATTAAAACATTTTTCGAAATTTTTGACATATGTATGTATATGTTTAACGTTAACATAATTCAACATAAATCTAGTTAATGATAATTTGTAGAGCAACGCTCAATAATGAAAAAATAGATATTGATAGCGAAACGATTTCAGTCAATAATTTAATAGATTTAAGTACTTATTTTAAAAGTTTTTCCTTAGAATTTTAAGTTTTTATATGAAATGTTGACACGTGATTAAAGTTTAACTAATTCTTCACTTAAAAATAAAATAATAATTGTATATTTAACAAATATAAGTTATTTTTGGCTGTCTGCTGTTTACAATAATAAAATACAATGTTTATTTTATTAAAAAAAAAAGATAATACAAAACTTTTACAATTAAACAAAATTTTGATAAATGATTTAAAAGAAAATACTTAAATATATTCCAACTAAAGATAAACTTTTTTTGTAGAAAAAGATAAATAATTTCTATCTGGCAAATATTATTTTTTTCACACAAACTTTTTTCACAAAATTTCCATTAAAAAAAACCTTCGAGTTGTAAAAACTCATAAAAAAAATTTTACTCATTTAATAAAATCTTATAAGAAATAGCTATTTAAAAATGCACATTTAACCGTTTAACTGCTTTAGTACAAATACCTACTACAGGTACAATAAACCCCCAAATATGTAGAATTTCTTATCATATCAAAGTGTAATAAATGTGACAATAAACAATAAATTCAAAACACAACTACTACAAGTTACTTACTTACCAACACTTGTATTTCAAAACAAATAAAATAAAAAAATCTTTACATAAACGACGCTGCACAGTGGTATAGGAAAAAAAAAAGAGGGAAATAATTCGGTAACTTCTAAACGGTTAATCCGATTTTAATGAAATTTGGTATGCACAAAGAGGAGGTGTTGTCGAGTTTAGGTTTTGAATTTGGACCTTATAGGCCAACAAATTAATTAGGGAAAACTCAACATCTTTTAGAAAATTTACCTAGCACTATTATTTTCATCCATATATGTAACAAATTTAAGAGTTAACCTTATGGATGAAAATAATAGTGCTAGGCAAATTTTCTAAAAGATGTTGAGTTTTCCCTAATTAATTTGTCACTTAAAAAACATTAGGTAGGCATGTTATATATCAATGGAAAGGTAATTTTGTCTATTTTTCAAAACTGTATATAATTTTTGAAAATTAAAAAATTCGCGGAATACTTTTTTTAAAAAAAATTAAAAAATGTTTTTTATTCAGTTTTTGCGAAGATACAAATTTTTCAAATTGCAATAAAAATTTTATTTATGAATATTTTTTGATGAAATTTTACAGTTAGGTAGATTTTTTTACTCAAAATCCAAAATTAAATAAAAATTTTGAATTTTCTTATTAGAAATCCCGGAATTCCCAAAAAAGTTTTAAAAAATCCCAAAAATGGGATTTTTTGGTTTTTTGCCTATTATATCCATACCAGGGGCGGGGTTATCGAAACCCGTTACAAAATGATTAAGAACTTATTGGGTCATATAAAACAGGTCACTATAATTTGATATCGACTATGCGATTTGAGAATTTTTGCTCAAAATTTAATTTTCCATAAAAAATAGGGTTTTTTTGGATGGACCTGGTCCCCTCGGTATCAAAAATTTTTAGGTTTTGTTTCATTTATCGTATTTTATGTAAAGTCAGCTTTCCAAAAAGTATAAATTCTATATACATCTTCTTAGAAACTTTTTAGATAACTTAAAAAGAAAAAGATACTTTTTTCCCAAAAAAATGACAAAAAATCGCCTTTTTTTAATTTTTTAAATTTAAATGCCTATAACTTTGGACTCAGTCATGATTTTTACATAATTCTTTCACTGCTTGGTATATAAACTTGTTGTTAAGCAAATAAAAAAAAATGGCGAAAATCGGAAATATTTGGACCTGCTATTATCAAAAAAACTAAAGTAAGGACGGTAAAAATTTTAAAATTTTAATATTCAAATGCGAATATCTCCTAAACTATAAGAGATAATTTACTGCTACGACGACATTTTTTATAGTGCTCGATGAGGAGATTCTATATACGAAATTTTTTTTAAATCGGAACTCAAATGAAGAAATAGGATCGTTTTAAAAATTTAACATAGCCGAGGTGTCCTAATTTGAGGACCCCCCGCCGGGCCCCTGGTTGGCCTATAAAGTCCAAATTCAAAACCTAAACTCGACAACACCTCCTCTTTGTGCATACCAAATTTCATTAAAATCGGATTAACCGTTTAGAAGTTACCGAATTATTTCCCTCTTTTTTTTTTTCCTATACCACTGTGCGCTGTCAAATTTGGGGTAATTTAAAAATTATTGCCTCTTAAAGGCTTTGTCTGTATTTATTAAATGTTTAAATGTTTGTTGTTTATAACGAGCTTTTTTATGACAAATTATATTTTTAAAATTTCGGGGGAAATGGTATCCACAATGTTGTGGTAAAATAATAAATAATTTAACATTAAACAATAAATTGTTTATTATGGTAGGTTTGTTTTTATCAGAAATATTGTTTTGAAATGCTTAAAATGAACTTGTAACTTATTTACCTACTAATGTCATTCAAAGTTGTCACTTTTTGTCGATAAGCATCAAAATATTTGATTAATACTCTTGCTCAAAAATGTTTGTTTACTGGTGTAAAACACCCCTTATAATAACTACATATTTCTATTACATATAAAGCAGTGATCGTTTTTTCCACCTCCTTCTCTCTTTTTCTTTCATTTACAATCAATTCAACTGACCCCCACTACATTTGAAAAAAAACTCTTATAAAACAAAATATTTTATTCAGTTCCTGATTAAAATGTTGTTGTTGATCGATTGCTATGATTCATGACCACTCACTAACTTGTGTGGTCATAAATGTCATAAATATTTCATCTGCCTTAATAAAAGTATTAAATGACAAATTGAATGGAAATTTATTTGTGACATATTGATTATTGCAAAATTATTGTTTTAAATTGGAAATTTCGAAAAGATTGTTTTGTTATGGTTTATTATTTGACGCTTTTTAATGACGTTTTAAGCAACAGATTATTGTAGTTTTATTTATTTAAACATTTATTAATTAATTAATTGATTGCAGTTTTACTGTGAAAAATTTTAAAAATATTCCTATATTAGTGTATTAAATTTTAGTTAATTAATTAATAATTAGTCTATAGTTTCGATTATAGTCTAGACAATTGTCTCGACTACAGATTGTTCTCTAGTATATAGCCAAGTCTTGCCTATAGTTCTGTCAAGAATATAGACTAATATAATAGATTAGTCTATATTCTTGAGTTTAAATTAGTCCATAGTCTTTACTGTAGATCATTCTGTAGCCTTGATTATAGATCAGTTCGTAATATTTACTATAGACCAGTCTATAGTATTAACTATAGATCAGTCTATAGTCTTGGCTATAGATCATTGGATAGTCTTAACTATAGATCAGTCTATAGTCTTCACTATAGATCAGTGTATAGACTTGACTATAGATCAGTCTATAGTCTTAACTATATATCAATCTATAGTTTTTTCTATAGATCAGTCTATAGTCTTGACTATAGATCAGTCTGTAGTCTTGACTATAGATCAGTCTATAGTCTTGACTATAGATCAGTCTATAGTCTTGAATATAGATCAGTCTATAGTCTTGAATATAGATAGTCTTGACTATAGATCACTGTAATCTTGACTAATGATTAGTCTATAGTCTTAACTATAGATTATTCTGTAGCCTTGATCATAGATAAGTCCGTATTTTTACTATAGATCAGTCCGTAATCTTGACTATAGATAAGTCTATAGTCTTGACTATAGATCAGTCAGTATTAACTATAGATTAGTCTATAATATTGACTATAGATCAGTCTATAGTCTTGAATACAGATCAGTGGATAGTCTTAATATAGATCATTCTATAGTCTTGACTATAGATCAGTGTATAGACTTGACTATAGACCAGTCTATAGTCTTAACTATATATCAGTCTATAGTCTTGACTATAGATCGGTCTATAGTCTTCACTATAGATCGGTCTATAGTCTTGACTATAGATCAGTCTGTAGTCTTGACTATAGATCAGTCTATAGTCTTGATCATAAATGAGTCCGTATGTTGACTATAGGTCTGCCCGTAATCTTGACTACATATAAGTCTATAGTCTTGACTATAGATCAGTCTATAGTGTTGACTTTAGATCAGTCTATAGTCTTGACTATAGATCAGTTTGTAATCTTAACTATAGACCTTTCTATAGTGTTGATTGTAAACCATTCTATAGTCTTGACTGTAGACCATTCTATATCAGTTTATATATAGTCTTCACAATAGTCCGTCTATAGTCCAATCTTAAGTCCTGAATAGTATAGTCCAAAGTCACGACTATAGTATAGTCTAGCTTATAGTCTCTTCTTGTTTTCTAGAGAAAACTGCAAGATCGTTTAATTTTGTATAAAACTGGCTGTTTTTAATTACATAATAATATTTGTCCAAAAGGTTCTTACAGAAAACATCCTAAAAAATTTAATTGCATTTTTTTAACAAAAACTTTTTTTGAAAGTTTGTCTTTTTTTTGATGACTTCCAAATATCTCGACTATTTTTCTCTATATTTTCTTCATCTTTTTCATATTTCTAGCCATCTCAACGGTCCGGTGACTAAAGCCCTCGAAATTGTTACGAAATATTAAAGTAACAAATTGAGTTGAAAGCTTAAGAAAAAACAAAAAAAGCTAAAAAAAAAAAAAACAAAAACAACCAACCCATGTACACAAGTCTACACTTAAATACACTACACCACAAAAATAAACACACACTATTTAGTTTAAATAAATAATTAACATGTAAACAAAACGCTAATAAATTTAAAAAACCAATATAAAACGTATATAAATTATAAATAATTTAATAACAATAATTAATTAGTGGTAGGTTTATTAGCAAAGTAGTTATTATAATTTAAATTATTTGAAAAAAAAAAATAAAACAACTACAAATTGTGTGATATTTTATTTAAATATTTTTTTGTTTGTATAATTTAACCTTAAATTCCTTAAAAACGAAACATAAATTCTAAATGTAAATTAATTATTTTGTATGTTGATACTCCTTCTAATTACTTAAATAAAAAAATTCTACCTTAATTTAAACGCTCTACTTATTTTTGTTAATCTTAATTTTTTTCTAATTAATTGGAATCTTTATATTACTTTAAGTTATAACTGTTTCTTTAGTTTAATTATTTTAAAAACAAGTTCATTTTTTACCAAATGTTTATGTATTAAAGCATAAGTAATAGATTGATTTTTGACAGCTGTCATGTAAATAATAGTATTGAACAAAACTATAGTAAAGTTTTATTATTACAATATATTTTTATTATTTTGTATTTATTTCTATTTTGCAACTTAAAGTATTATTATACAAAAAGAAAACGCATTCCTAATTATACATAATTATTTTTTTTTTATATATTTTAATTAAATTAATTGAAAGCAAGCAGCAACAATGCAAAATTTCATAAATTATTTAAATTGTATTAAATAAATTTAAAACTAAAAAATTCTTATACATAACACACATTATTGTAAAAAATTATAAAAAATAATTTCAATTAACAAAACTAATAACAAATTATAATAATAATAAAAAAAACAAAAAATTAAACATGTCGCTCAACGGTAAAAATGCAGATGATGCAGCAGCAGCCCAGCAGCAATTAGAAAATAATAATTATTACAACAACAATAATGACCTTAAAGATACCTCCTTTACACCTTCCTCCACAACGACGGTATCGGGAGCAGCATTGGCTACAGAGCATACACCAACTCCGCCTCCTCCTACGTCATCAAGAAGTTTGGCAGACCACAAATCAGATCATAATAATACTTCTAGTTCTAGTTTTATACACATTCCACCTCCCCCTCGTTCAACTCATACTGCAACATCTGCAGCAACAGCGCCAATTGCAAATAGTGAGAGTATGAGTACCACTAACAGCTTAAGTAGAAGATCATTAGATGTTCACACATTAGATATACATGAACCACAACAACAACAACAATTACACAGTAATAATGTTAATAATATTAACAACAAACAACAACATGAACAACAACAACAGCCATCAACACCAACATTATCAACAAATTCGAAATTAAACTCTACAACACATGAATACACCAGTAACAATGGTGTGCCCCATGGACACTATCGTAATACATTACCACCTCAAGATGATAATTTTAAATTATTTACTATATATGGAAATGGTGAGTTTCCCCCACTCTCTCCCTCTGTCTCTATCTCGATCCTTCATCATCCCGTTAAACATTCTTTTACTCTAACTTTAACTTCTATTTTTGTTGTGTTTTCCATTTTCGTATTATTAAAAAAGATTTTTTAATTTTTTAATATTGTATAATACTGCTGCCGAATAAATGCTTAATTGGCATCACCGATCTTGGCGAATTCATTGTAAAGTGAAGTCTATACTTCAATCTGCTTTATAGTATTAACATTAGACTACACGTAGTTTATAGTCTGGACTATAATCTGTACTTGAGTCTAGACTATAGTCTGGACTATATTCTCGAATAGTCTATAGTTTTGTTGAATTCTCTATTGTCTTCTATGATGCCAATAGTTTTATTTAAACCTGCAAATCGCCAAAAAAAATCTTTAAGACCTTTTTAAATAATAATTTGTTTTTCCCAAACTTTTTGTTAAATTTTTCTACTACAAATTTGTTCCTCCTATTTTGTTATTCAAAATTTGTAAATGTTTGTTTTAAAATTTTATTTTTAAGAAATTCCTAATCAATTTGCACTTCCCTAATTAAGAGTGTTTGAATGTCAAACCAATTTGCAATTGATTATGACACCCAGCCATCTCCCTACTCTTTCTAATTCTCTTTTTATAAGTATATACTTTTTTTTTATAAATTTATTTAGTATTTTATTTATTTAAACTACTACTTTGTATAAGTACATATTTTGTAATATAATACTTTTGATATTGTTTTTAAATATTTATAAAACAGGACACCACACTCTCCCACTTTAGCTTTCTTTCATGTAATTTATTTTTGTTTACACTCTTTTAAACACAATTGTAACGGCAAGCGTAGGAGATTAAACATATGACCAAACAAAACCTTATTACAAGACTGTATTAAGACAAATTTGTATATTTTTGATGTAGAATTTTGTTATTTCGTTCGATATGTAATATAAATATAATGGAAATTTTAATCGATAGTAATAGTGGCTGATTTTGTTCGTAACAGCTGTTTATTGTTTACAAAATTAAGTCAGATGTATGACACAACATGTTAGATTTTTTTATGTGAACAAAGTTGTCAAACTAATGGATATTAATGAATATTTGTATTTCTTTAGCCCTTTTAATAGTAAATATTTCAGTCTAGTTTATGTTTTAATATTTTAAACTTGCTTCCCATTTCAAAATTTTGTAGTGAAAGGAGTGAAACCAATTCCAAAAAGACAAAACATATTGCATGCGTTCTGGATCTATATAATTAATAAACAATGCAATATTTCGTTACAACTTCTATTCTTATACTATTTTATACGATATCGGCAAAAAAAATATATAGCATTTGAAAGGTATTTGTCAGTAGAATTCTATAATTTGATGGAAATACATAGTTTAACAAAATTCAAACTGGACTAATTCTGGAGCAAATTGAATTCTGACTTCGCATAAAATTATATATGGACGTAGGGTTTTTAAAATCTATGAAGCTTTAATAAATTAAGCCAAAAAGCCTTTAAATTATATAACTTTCATAATCACCATATAATTTAACTTCTAGATGCAATAAGCAGAAATGCAGACATCTACAGAATTTGCAAGTGCACCCATTATTAGAACCCAACAAAAGCCCAAAAATTTAAATCCTATTATAATTTGTTTTTATTAAAATTTTTATAAATATGATTTAATTAAACTATATCTTACATCTTCTCAAATAAATCATTCTTTTCTCATAAAGAGTCCCGTAAAAATAACACTTCTTCATTCATAATCTCTACACTTTATTTGACACAAACAAACCTCTGCTCTACACTTATTACAATAGTTTTCGTTAAGTGTAAAATGTACCACAACAAAGTAATGTTAGTGATGGACTTTTTTAAAAACTACAATATTATTACTTCTGTAATCGATAAATAGCAGTAGCATTAAAATTATAATTTAAAGATGAACAATTTTAATAAAAGTTGGAAATTTGTTTAACAGTCTAATGTTTTCTAAAACCCAATGAAATCATGCAATTTAATTATTTTTTTTTTTCGTTGACTTTTTTATTTGAAATACTTTTCAACAAAGCGTAACGTGTGTATATGCGTATGTGTGAATAATGCAGTTTTCATTATTTTTAAAAATATTTATTTATGAAGTAAAAGTAATTATACACTTCTTTTTTAAAGCAATTAATTTTCAAGTTTAAAACAATTTTATTTTGAATAAATATTTATAATTAGCATGTTTATTTTATTATTAAGCACAATGTTTAATAAAAATATTTACAGTATTATTTATACAAAGAACTTTTTTAAACTAATTTCTTAACAGTTTTGTTCTTAAACTAAACTTTTTTTTTTAAATTAATAGTCTAATTAATTTCTGTTTGTTTTTCTCTTTTCTTTTTGGTATTCCCATTTTCTTTTTTTTTTATAGACACCGACAATGACAAATTGTCCGGTTTACCACATTCTACAACCGGTTCATTAAGCTCTATCATCACGACGTCCATAGCATCCTCAGAACCTGATCCGGGAGCGGGCAGCGGTGGTGGCAATGGAGGCGGCGGCGGTGGTCATGATCCCTCAAATAGTGTAGATGAAAAAATGGCCTTAAATCGACCGGGTATTAAACAGGAAAAATGGTCTTCGATCTTAATACAAGTGTCTATACCATTCTTTTTGGCTGGCATAGGCACAATAGGAGCTGGTATTATTTTAGGTAGAGTAGAGGTGAGTGATAAAAAATACATAAAACTAATTTATATTAAACAATTAACAATTAAATATGTTTTTTAACAAGTAATTTATAAATTTGTTCCCATAATCTATCAGTTTTTATTTTATCTTTTTTAATAATTAAATAATTGTTTTTTTGTTTTTGGCTTAAAATTGTCTATACTATTTTGAAAATAATAAATAAATACATAGAAAATTCAATGACATTGTAAATAAAAAAACATGACATGCATGCAATTATTAATAAGTACCTTCAATTTAATAATTCAATTCTCTCTTTCCCACTTACTTTTCAAAATTAATATCTTAGAATTGGAAAAAATCATATTAAAAAATATAGATTTTTTATGTTGCTTTGTTTGGATTTGTTAATAGATATAATAAAAAACTTTATGGACAAGTGCCGTCACTAAAAATCAGTTAAATTGTTGAAAATTTATAATTTGCCGATAATTTTTTGAAAACATTTTTAACTACTAATAATTCTGTGATTGTTTTTTATTGTTTGAAGTAATTGCATTTAATACTTGTAACACTCCAAATTCTGTTAATATTTTAAATATAATTTAGATCGGACTTCTTTTTTGAAAAATATTAAAAATTTCCAAAATTAGACTCTTAATCAAGAAAGAGCTGAATTAGAACTGAACTAGGTCTGAACTAGAACTGAACTAGAACTGAACTAGAACTGAACTAGAACTGAACTAGAACTGAACTAGAACTAGAACTGAACTAGAACTGAACTAGAACTGAACTAGAACTGAACTAGAACTGAACTAGAACTGAACTAGAACTGAACTAGAACTGAACTAGAACTGAACTAGAACTGAACTAGAACTGAACTAGAACTGAACTAGAACTGAACTAGAACTGAACTAGAACTGAACTAGAACTGAACTAGAACTGAACTAGAACTGAACTAGAACTGAACTAGAACTGAACTAGAACTGAACTAGAACTGAACTAGAACTGAACTAGAACTGAACTAGAACTGAACTAGAACTGAACTAGAACTGAACTAGAACTGAACTAGAACTGAACTAGAACTGAACTAGAACTGAACTAGAACTGAACTAGAACTGAACTAGAACTGAACTAGAACTGAACTAGAACTGAACTAGAACTGAACTAGAACTGAACTAGAACTGAACTAGAACTGAACTAGAACTGAACTAGAACTGAACTAGAACTGAACTAGAACTGAACTAGAACTGAACTAGAACTGAACTAGAACTGAACTAGAACTGAACTAGAACTGAACTAGAACTGAACTAGAACTGAACTAGAACTGAACTAGAACTGAACTAGAACTGAACTAAAACAGAACTAGAACTGAACTAGAACTGAACTAGAACTGAACTAGAACTGAACTAGAACTGAACTAGAACTGAACTAGAACTGAACTAGAACTGAACTAGAACTGAACTAGAACTGAACTAGAACTGAACTAGAACTGAACTAGAACTGAACTAGAACTGAACTAGAACTGAACTAGAACTGAACTAGAACTGAACTAGAACTGAACTAGAACTGAACTAGAACTGAACTAGAACTGAACTGAACTAGAACTGAACTAGAACTGAACTAGAACTGAACTAGAACTGAACTAGAACTGAACTAAACTGAACTAGAACTGAACTGAACTAGAACTGAACTGAAATAGAACTGAACTAGAACTGAACTAGAACTGAACTAGAACTGAACTAGAACTGAACTAGAACTGAACTAGAACTGAACTAGAACTGAACTAGAACTGAACTAGAACTGAACTAGAACTGAACTAGAACTGAACTAGAACTGAACTAGAACTGAACTAGAACTGAACTAGAACTGAACTAGAACTGAACTAGAACTGAACTAGAACTGAACTAGAACTGAACTAGAACTGAACTAGAACTGAACTAGAACTGAACTAGAACTGAACTAGAACTGAACTAGAACTGAACTAGAACTGAACTAGAACTGAACTAGAACTGAACTAGAACTGAACTAGAACTGAACTAGAACTGAACTAGAACTGAACTAGAACTGAACTAGAACCCGAACTGAACTAGAACCAGAACTGAACTAGAACCAGAACTGAACTAGAACTGAACTAGAACTGAACTAGAACTGAACTAGAACTGAACTAGAACTGAACTAGAACTGAACTAGAACTGAACTAGAACTGAACTAGAACTGAACTAGAACTGAACTAGAACTGAACTAGAACTGAACTAGAACTGAACTAGAACTGAACTAGAACTGAACTAGAACTGAACTAGAACTGAACTAGAACTGAACTACTGAACTAGAACTAGAACTGAACTAGAACTGAACTAGAACTGAACTAGAACTGAACTAGAACTGAACTAGAACTGAACTAGAACTGAACTAGAACTGAACTAGAACTGAACTAGAACTGAACTGGAACTGAACTAGATCTGGCATAATCCAAAACAAAATACTTAAAACTTTTCTATTTTTTCCCAAAATTTCAGTTTAAAGCAAAATTTTGAGTTTATTTTATGTTTGTGAAACAAATTTATACAACAATGTTTATACCTAGAAACAAATAACAATTAATAAGTTAACAATTAAATTTTCTTCCAGAAATGGCGTGTATTTAAGTCTGTTAGTGAATTGTTCATTTTGGTTCCCGCCCTGCTGGGTCTCAAGGGCAATTTGGATATGTGTCTGGCCTCACGTCTCTCCACACAAGTGAATTTGGGTAATATGACGGGAAAGAAAGAGGTAATACGTATGATTGTGGGCAACATAGCATTGGTGCAAGTGCAGGCCACTGTGGCATCATTTCTGGTCGCTATGTTTGCGGTATCTGTAGGCGCTGCCATGGATGGTAATTTCTATTTTGAACATGTTATGTTATTGACGGCGTCGGCAATGTTTACGGCGACATCGTCATGTTTTGTGTTAGGTGAGTTTACTTTATAATTATTTCTTTGTTTAAAATGATTAATTAATATAAAATTACTTTTATATTTATTTTTTTAGACTTTGTATTAGTGGCTGTGATATTATTATCTCAAAAGTATCGTTTGAATCCTGATAATTTGGCAACCCCCTTAGCTGCCTCCATAGGTGATGTGGTTTCAATTAGTTTGCTATCGTTTATTGCTTCGATTTTATTCGATAACATAAGTGAGTAATTGTCTAAATATTTTTAATAAATTTAATTGTAGATAATATTGTTGTAATAATCATGGGACAGAATTTTTACTACGACTTAGGTTTTGCCAGCACTTTAAAACAAATTACTGAACTAGCATTGAACTGAACTAGAACTAGAACTGAACTAGAACTGAACTAGAACTGAACTAGAACTGAACTAGAACTGAACTAGAACTGAACTAGAACTGAACTAGAACTGAACTAGAACTGAACTAGAACTGAACTAGAACTGAATTAGAACTGAACTAGAACTGAACTAGAACTGAGCTAGAACTGAACTAGAACTGAACTAGAACTGAACTAGAACTGAACTAGAACTGAACTAGAACTGAACTAGAACTGAACTAGAACTGAACTAGAACTGAACTAGAACTGAACTAGAACTGAACTGGAACTGAACTAGAACTGAACTAGAACTGAACTAGAACTGAACTGGAACTGAACTAGAACTGAACTAGAACTGAACTAGAACTAAACTAGAACTAGAACTGAGCTAGAACTGAACTAGAACTGAACTAGAACTGAACTAGAACTAGAACTGAATTAGAACTGAAGTAGAACTGAAATAGAATTGAACTAGTACTGAATTAAAATAAACTAGATCTGGAAAAGAACCAAACAGGAATTGAATTAGAAATAAAATAAAACTGAACTAGAATTAAAATGGAACTGAGCTTGAACTAATATTTATTAAATGTTTCTTTATTTTTCTCTTCCAGAAACTCATTTATGGATAACTTATGTTGTAGTGGCCTGTTATCTGGTCTTGTTACCAATGTGGGTAACAGTTGTATTAAAAAATAAATATACACGTCCTGTGCTCAAGAGTGGTTGGGTGCCAGTATTATCGGCCCTCTGTATTAGTGGGTAAGTTGTGCTAGTCGCAAATAAATTTAATACCAATTTTTTAATTTGTTTATTTTTTCTCCTTTACAGTTTGGGTGGTCTGGTGTTAGATGCTGCCGTCGAAGTATTTCATGGTTTTGTGGTATTCCAGCCCATTATCAATGGTATTGGTGGTAATTTGGTATCGGTACAGGCTAGTAAAATATCAACAATGCTGCATCAAAGTTCAATTATCGGCATTATACCACCACATACGAAAATATTCGAATGGCCCTGGAAAGCTTTGTTTAAAGGAGGTAAGTTCAAAGGAGATGTTAATTTTATTACAATAGAATTATTGAATTTCTCTTCTTAATTCCAGTGCCCTATGCTAAAACTGCTCGCTTATTGATTGGCCTGTCAATTCCTGGTAATATATTGTTTATATTTGTAGCTGATTATATACACATGTCTCAATCGACAATAACCTGGGCATTTGCTCTCTCATATTTGATTGCCAGTTTGATACAGGTAGATTACTTTTAATAATATTTTTATATTAAAACATGCTAATATTAAATTTGTATCTTTATAATTTTAGTTAATGCTTCTTTTGTATATCGCCCACATAATTGTACATGCCATGTGGAAATGGAAAATCGATCCAGATAATTCATCTATACCTTATCTTACAGCCCTGGGTGATTTATTGGGCTCTAGTCTTTTGGCCTTGGCCTTTATATTCCTGTTATCGATTAACAAGGAATATGGCGCTGGCTTGGATACTTTAAATGCTTCAAACTAAAAAAAGATTGATTCATATTTCTGTCTGTATGTGCTGTGATTTGAAAGTGAAAGAAGTATAGAGAGAGAGTTGTCTTCTAATTTGCCCCCACAATGATTTTGTCATTCTTAAATCTTTGTTAGGGCGAGAAGATAAATGCATGTACTATTTTAATTGCCATAAATAATATTTTAACAAAAAACTAATTACAAAAAATACAAAAAAAAAAAATACAATAAACAGGGTTGTAAGTTAAATAGTCAGTCAACGACTTCTAATTACTACTGCTATATTTAACATACATACGTACTGCAGTTAGAGTTAGTTTAAACAAAAAATTAGAGTATAGAGTTGGACATGTTAAGATTTTATATGTGTTATATAAAATGCTAACAACAAAACAATAATGATTAAAAGTTGAATGGTCGAGACCAGTGTTTAGTTTAGTTTCATTCTCCAGTGTACCTTAATGGATTTAAATTTAGTAATTATGTATGTATTTTAATTTATTTTAAATGAAATTAAGTAAATTACCTTTAACTTTAAACCTATACCCCTTCCCTCTCCCCCTAAAGTCCTTCCTTTCCCTTTAATGTTGTAAAAAACCTTTCATCCCCCCTAAAATAAATATGTATGTGTTTATTTAAAATAGTAAATTTAATTTGATAAAGAAAATAAAACAAAAATACTTAAAATTAAAAATAAAAAACGAAACAAAATTATAATAATTTATGTGTAAATAAATTGAAAAGTTAATCAAGAAACAAAGAATGTCTGAATTTTTAAGTTGAAGAATGAAATTGTTATGGTTCTACCAAATCGATTAAGAGTTTGAAATTTTTTTATTAGTATAAAATCGTTTTTTAAATCTGAACTGAACTAAATTCGAATAAGAACTGAACTAGAATTGAACTACAACTGAACTAGAATTAACTAGAACTAGATCTGAAGTAGAGCCGAACTAGAATTGAAATAGAACTGAACTAGATAGTTGATTTTTATCACGTCATGTTTTAATCTTGTTTTGAATGAAGTTAATTAAGCAGTAGGAAAGTTGGATCAACGAAAACGTTCATATTAAAAAATTTAAAATCAAATTTAACGTTCATATTAATATTTTAACACCGTTTAAAGCAAAGTGGTTAGCATACTTTTAGGTGTTGACAATATCTATAAAAGAAAATTATTGTATCATAGCACACAGCTTTTGTATATAAGAAGTAAACAATTTTGCCAACCACACACACTACAGAGTTGCCCTAAAGAACGCCGTCAAATTCAAAGCATTTTGTAAAACAACCGCCAATGCATTTTTTGTAAACAAATAAATAAATATAAGAAATTTTATTAAAACAAAATGCAGAGACCTAGAAGAACCTCAGAATTCCAAGAAGATGCTATTGGTATACGGCGTCAGTCGAGGTGAGTGATAAATTAATCAGCAAGAGAACTCTAAAATACATAGAAATTCCTTTTCAACAGAGCTCAGGCTAGAAATACTCTGGCTCCTTCTCCTTGTGGAAGTGCTGTAGGTACAAATGCCGTTGGAACAGCAGGCGGTACAGCTAAGAAATTTAGCGCCAGGTAGTCATTTGAAAAATTAAACAAACACTTTACAATAAAACTAATAATAAACTATTTCAGACAAAGTCGCATTGCCGTACCATCACGCCCTTCTTCCAGTGACCGTGGTGGAGGAGGCTCCATCAATCCCTATCTATCCGTGCCCACCACTAATACACAAAGAGGTACAACACCACAGAAAACTCCACTGCCTAAAACCACCGCTAATCGCGTTTTATTTACCGCTGAAAAACAACGTTCTGGCCAGACTGGGAATTCGGTGGCTTTGCACAACGACAAAAAATGGGTGCAAGAACAAACCCAACGTATAACAGAACATTTACTTAACCAAGGCACATTGGCTGGCGGCATAAGTACCGACTTTTTAAATCGTGGCCTAAGGCAAATGTCTATTAAACAATTTGTAGCCATTATCAACCATTTCCTAGGCTATATCTGGGGCAATCGCTATACTGTAGGCAACAATCACGTAGAGGATATAATAAATATTTTGCAAAAGCTGCAATATCCTCATCCGGTAAACAAGTCTTGGCTCAAGACACCCAATACTCAGCACTCATTTGGCAATGTAATTGTTTTATTTGATTTTCTTATGGATTTTGTTCCTTGCACAGATGAAGTCGAAAATGAGGGTATATATTTCGAATTAAAAGAACCCGAAGAGTTAAGTGCTTCAAAAATGCAAGAAGATCCTTTTCATATGCCCGATTTGGAATTCCAACAGCAATTGCTGAAAAACTCGGAGGAGGGATTTATGTTGTGGGACAAACAGAAGACCGAGGAATTCGATAGTCTCCAGCTACAAACCTGTAATCTGCTAATACAAAAAAATACTGGCTTGGCCGATATAAAAGCTGTTGAAATGGAGGTGGAAAAATTGAAAGATACTTTGAAATCTCTGGAAAAAGAAAAACCTCCAGAGGATAAGGAAATGCTGAAAATGAAGTCAAAACTAACGCATGAATTGAAAAGTCTACGTCGAGAAACCAAAATTCTACAAGATGAATGCGAATCTAATGAAAGAGAACTAAAGGATTTGAATTCTCACAAACAACTCACGATTAAGGATGTAGACACTATAGAAATGGATATTAAAAAATTGCACGAAATGCTTAACTCACAAACTTGCACGGTGGAACAGCGCAATCGCATGATAGACGATATTATGCAACACAAACAAATGCTGGCTATACAGGAGCGAGCAGTAGAAGATCTTCAGAATCGTTATCATAATCAACAGATTTTGCGTTCTAAAGCCCTTAAGCAATTTAACGATCAAATCGAAATCTTTAATGCTCATATGAGAGAAGTCAAATTCTCAGAACTCTTGAAAGGCAACAATGATACTTCGCTCAACGAAAACAATCTGCAATTATCTTTACGGCCCGAACAAGCCGAGTTGGATAAACTAATACCCTTGTTGCAACAAATCAATGAAGAAGCCAAGCTTTATATACAAACAAACAAAAAGAAGATTTTCCAACTGCAAGAACATTGTAAAGCATTAACCACTGATATCGAGGCAATATTACAGCCCAAACTAATTACTTTACGTACGGCCAATAACACTAATATTGAGAACTTACAAAAACTTGTGAACGTCTTTCAACAGAATGAATGTAAAATGCGAGAGAAAATACTTAAGTTGGAAGAGGATATAAGTGCAGCCGACAAAACAATCGAAGAACTACAAACGATTATTAAACATAAGAATTCCCTGGTGGAAAAAATGAAAGCCGATAACGAACAAACAATGCAGGATGCTGAACGCAAGCATGGTCAGTATGTGGAACAGAGAAAAGCCTTTTTGGAAGCCTATGAAAAAATGTTAGATGAATGCATACAGGGTGACGTACTGCAGCAATTGATACAACAGGTTGAAGTGCAAGAACAACAATTGGAGGTGTTAAGAAAAGATTTTAATAAGAATTAATTGTAATCAAGTTTATTTTCAATGTATTTTATATGAAATGATTAGAGTTATGCATTTTTAATAAATATTTGCATTGCTAAAAAATTTTAATAAAATTTATTTTAATTCGTTAGCAATTTTTAGTATTTCAGTATTTTTTTTTTATTTTTTTTTCTAAAAAAACTAGATATTCACCCCTACTCACCATTACGATAGTGTTTCCGCATTCTCCTACCTAAGTATCGATAATATTCAGTAAAACGAATATTTTGAAAAATTTCAAAACGATTGGATTTTTTCGTTTTATTTGAGTTTTATTTAAAAAAAGAAGAACATAAAAGAAAAAACAAATTTCAAATAAATACAGAAACAAAATGAAAACTTACGTTTTTTCTTTGAATTTTTTAAAATTGAAGTTTCATTTTATTTCAAATCTGATAATGTTTTTTTTGATAATCATACAAATTTTAATTTTAATTTGTTTTGAAATAAAATTTTAACGACTTCTCTCATAGTGTGTAGTAGGGTTCCATAGTTGAAACGAAAAGTCGACTTTTCGACTTTTTTCATTTAGTTAAAAGTCGACTTTCGACTTTTTGCATTTTATGAAAAGTCGATTTTTCGACTTTTTTCATTTAAATAAAAGTCGACTTTTAGACTTTTCGACTATAAGTATTTTATAAATAGTCGACTTTTTGACTTTTTCCGACTTTTTTCGACTTTTCGACTTTTTTTCGACTTTATCGACTTTTTTGACTTTTCGACTTTTTCCGACTTTTTTCGACTTTTCGATTTTTTCGACTTTTTGACTATTTTCGACTTCTTCCTACTTTTTTCCGACTATTTTTTGACTTTTTTCGAGTTTTTCCGACTATTTTAGAGTTTTGGATTTTTTTTCCACTTTTTTAAAATGTTTGACTATTTTTGACTTGTTTCTACAATTTTCGATTTTTCGACTTTTTCCGACTTTTTTCGACTTTTCCGACTTTTCGACTTTTTTCGACCTATCGATTTTTTTCGACTTTTCGACTTTTATTCACAAAGTCGACTTTTCGACTTTTTTCACAGACGATAGTCGGGTTATCGACTTTTTTGGAACAAAATAGTCGACTTCGACTTTTTTCGACAAAAAGTCGATTGTTCGATTATTCGAAAGTCGATTTATAGAACCCTAGTGTGTAGGCAGCTTAAAGAAGTAAAGTAAGAAAAAGAAGAAGCAATTCCATTTCGTTTCATTGCTTTACGATTATGTTGAGTGCCGGAGATTCAAATCGAAATGCAGAATATCAGAGCTGCCAAACGGATAATATTTAATTTTGAGTTGAAATGCAGAATAGTGGTGCAAAAAATAGATATGAGCAAAATTCGGAAAACATTTTTTCAGAATTTTTAATATATTTTGTAGGTAGGCAATGTTTGATATAAGTAGGCGCATATTTCTTTTGATATATTATATCAAACGAAAGATATTTGAAAGACCTTTTATTAGATATGCAATTATGTCTACGAAAAATATATATTCGAAATGTGTATATTTATATCGGAAAATATGGAAATTTGTATTCTTTTTGAAAAGTTAGAAAAGAATATTAAAATTTAAAGAAAACATTTCTTAAAATTAAAAAGAAAATATGTGCAATATGTTCCGAAGTGTTTATTTGCCAACTATTCCTATTGAGTTTAATTTCAAAAACGTAAAATTTTAATAAAATGTCATAATTTTTGATTTAAACCAATTTATTTCCTCCAAACAGCTAAAAGTTCCAAATTTCATAATCAATCGCTTTTTTGGCAATATAAAGTTAACAACACTTACTCTAACGGTATTTTTTTCACAATTTGTCTTTTTCCTTTTTGATTTTTCTGTATAAATATCAATGTTAACGCAGAATGATATTCCTTCATTCAGTGCTAAAATTTTGTAATTTGAAGACGCGAACTTAAACAATTTATAATAAAGTGTATTTTTTAAGTGTTTTAATTTAATTTAATGTAAGTAAAGAAAATAAAGAAATACTATAATTTTAACTTAAAATTTTTAAGTAATTCAAAAAAAATAATTTTTGTTAAATTAGAAAATTTGCTGAAAAAAATGAACATTATTTACATTTTTTGCACTTCATTTTAAATAACGGCTATTTTTTGTGTTCTCTTTTACTATCGTGAGCTAATTGAAAAATCCATTAAAAAGAAAGAGAAAGCTGTATGTAAAAATTAAGACCTTGAAAAAAATGCAATTTTTTTGGTTAAGCTTCCAGTTTGGGATATTTTTTTCTGCTGTGATGAAATATAATAAAGTGTAAATATTTTGATGGCCAAAGTTTAGTTTTGAATGTACAGTTGTGTTTGTTTTTTTATTATATAAACTATAAAATATCTTAATTAAATGTATCTTTTAAATTGTTTTTTCTATAGATCTTATTGTTCTGTGTAACCTCCCTTTTAAAAACGGCCAAAGATTTGTGACAGACGAAAAAAAGTGTGTCTTCGCTTGAAAAATGCAACGTCAATTTACCTCGGGCAGCCGACAGGCACCTGATCCTTTCGATCAGTTTCTCGAAGAACATAATTTCTATCGTAAACATACGGCCAGAGATGCATCCTGTTTGTTTCGTGTCATTTCGGAACAAATGTATGACACGCAATTGCATCATTTGGCCATTCGGGAGAAATGTGTGACATACATGCGCAAACATCGTAAACACTTCGATTATCATGTAGACCGAGATTTCGATGAGTATTTGGATGACATGTCAAAACCGAAAACCTATGGAACATTATTAGAGCTGCAGGCAGCCAGTTATATGTTTGAGTAAGTGTACAATATGATTTTTTTGTAGATCTATAAATTAATTGCCCTCTCTATGACAGTTTATTGTCTATGCTATTGAAAATTCTATGGTCTTTTGATCAATTTTTGGACTCGTTTGTGTATTTAACTATTTTTTCTTCCTTTTCAGGCGAAATGTGTTTTTATTTCAACCTTTTAATTTGGGTAATTATTTTAATGAATATCGTTCGAATTTCGTCGAAGTATTTCGTGTTTTTTATACGCCTGAAAGACATTTTGATTCCGTATTTACATCAGATTATATACAAGAGGCTGCTATATGTCAATGTAAGTAATAAAAAAAACAGTGGAAACGTTTATTTAAAGATTAAATCAGGATTCTGATTCTGAAATAAGAATACTTATTCTAAAGAGTCTTATCTTTATCATTTTTCTTCAGCCATTTGTTATGAGATTCTTTATAAAGATCTCTTCAAACTGCCCGATGTTTCATTTGCCGTCGAACAAATGCTGCACGGTCCCACCTTTGAAAATATGGACTACCGTACCGAAACTAATGAAGAAGGCTACTCTACGCGTTTGCATTTAAGTGATGGTCGTTCCTTTGAATTGGATTTACCACACAATACTAATTGTATATTGGAAAATTATAAATTATGTCATTTTCATTATATCAATTTCCCACGCTATTCGGATGATCTTCAGCGTGAGCTTAAAAATGCCAATAATTGTGAGGAATATGATAAAAATTCGTTGATTATACAACGTACCGCCGAATCTTTTCTACCGAATAAGTATGTCTCCTGTGTTCGGCAACTGCTGCAAGAGGGCATAACACCATTTCCCTATAAAGTGGCTAAGGCTTTAGATCCAAATATGTACCGTAATATTGAGTTTGATTCATGGAATGAAATGCGCAAGGAGTTGAAACTACAGAATTGGTATAATGGTGATGCAAATTTTAAGGTAGGCAATAGTTTCAGTTATCTTTAACTTTTGTTTTTAAAGTGTAGTTAAAGTTAGTAAAAGTTAGGCATTATAAATTGACTAATATATTGACTAGACTTTTTTAGTCTATGGAACAGTCTATGGACTTGGCTACGGACTATACTACTGATTAATCTATTGACTAAACTATTGATTGACTATTGATTAGTCTATGGATTAGACTATTGACTGACTAATTTATTGACTAGTCTGTGTACTTTTCCCTTGACTTGTTTAAGGACATTTTTTCTAAGGGCTAGTCTATAATCTGGTCTTTTATCTAGTTTAGTTTATAGTCTTGTCTATAATCTAGACTTTAGTCTAGTTTCATTATCTGTAACGGAAACATAATCTTAAAAAGACAAAAAAAAAAACATTCAGTTTACTCGATCACGAATTCGTCATGTAATATTTTTTATATGTATGTATGTATATCCAATTAATATTATTCATTGCTTACATTTTTGCTATTTAATATAATGATTTGTTCAGTTACCTTTTGTTTAAACTTAACATTTGTTGAATGTGTTTGTTCTGTTTTAATGTATTTTTGTCCTTTCGTCATTTATGTCTGTGTGTGTGTTTTATGTCTCATTATTCAGTTAATACGTTATAGCACAAGACGAGTTCGCAAAATATTTCAGGTTGGCGCCAAGTGTCATGTAAAATTGCGCAAGTCAGAGCAGGATCTCTATACTTGTCATATACAGGAAATAGCCGTCGATAAGGGACAGTGTATTGTATTCGTTGAACAATTGGGTGAAAAACGTTTAGTGCCTTATGAGAATCTAACACCCCTACCACCGGATCAATTTAAACCCTGGACGGTGCCTTATCGTTTGCAACGTCATATGCAAAAATATAGTTCAGTACGTTTTACACGTCAATACAATTATCGTTTTAAATTCAATACAACTACTGAGCATCATCATCATCATGAGTTTGCATGTGGTTCGGCTATGGATAATGATAGTTGTTCAAATGATTATATCGATGATGATCTCAAGAAGTCAGCACGTCAGCAACATAATCAACATTGTACTACAGCTGCCTCGTATTTCAAATTGAAGCAGTACACTCATTTGGAGGATTTTCGTACACATGTCGAGTATTGTACCATGCCCTTGACGGTGGCACATGCAAGTCGGGAAGTTGATGCAGCCAAGTCTGGTAATCAGCAAAGAGGAATTGGTGATTCTAATGAGAATTCTCGTACTCCCTCAAGATCTTCAACGACTGTGGGAACTCAACGTAATAACATGGAGGGTGTACAAAATAAAGCCCTACCAAATAGTGGCAATACTAATGTTGAGGATCATTTAGGAACACCGCAGGCATTTGTACCCCATTTAATGGAGGCTTATGATGTTGATCATTATAATCCTAATGCTGCTTTATACATGCCCGAAATGCAAAGTTTTTATCCCATGTATCCCTACTCAACTGCTGCCGGTATACCAGAAGATTATTATGGTTATTGTGGTTTTGATGGTGGTTTGCCACCCGGGGCAGCATTTATGCCTGCAGTAAATAATGGTTTTTATTATTTATGTAACAATACTTTAGCACCACCTGGTAATTATATCAACTCCACTAATCCATATTTTCCACCGCCACCACCACCTCAATCATTAGGTATTGGTCCTATGGTGGCATCAGCTAATACTCCGAATGCTTCGTATTATACACAAACACCCTTGACCAGTGCAGCTACTAACACACAATCTGCACAAAGTTTAGCTCCACCAAGCAATACACATCCGTCCAGTAATAATACACCTTCACGTTTACCTCACCGCAGTGTAACAAATACTCCCACAAATACTCCTTTAAGTGGACGCATAAACTATGATGCTAAAAAATCCTTAAAAGCCAATGGTGTCGATTTGCCCAATGATGTGGCCACTTTAAGGTTCTTTTACAATATGGGTTTGGATTATTATCATAAACAGAAAAATAATGAAAATGAGAGTAAGTAAAGAAACTGTTAAAAAAAAATACGTTTAAAAATAAAAATAATAAATTATTATCTTATACTTTAGCTCCTTCAAATGAAGATACTACAACAAATAAAATTTCAAATGATTTGCAAAATATTAAACTCGATGAAAATGCTAATCAGGTGTCAAGTACTAAATCGGATGCTAATAACAATGATCCGCTTAATGTTAACCAAAATGAAGCGGCAGCTAGCAATGAGACAAATTCGAACACAACTCAATCAAATAAGCACAGTAATACAGTTGTAAACTCTTCTACTGGTGGAGGTGGTGGTAATAAAGCCAACAACAATAACAATAATAACAATCAACGTCGTTATAGTTCTCGTTATTTTAGTGGCAAAGAACGTCAAATGTCACAACGTAATAATAATACAAATCAAAATACACAAAATTCTAACCATCATCAGCAGCAGCAACATCATAATCAAAATCATTCTTCACAGCGTAATCAGGGAAATTATAACAATAATGCTAATAAGTATTCACAAAATAATTATAATTCTTCTTCAAATACCACGAATACTGGTCGTAATACACAACAACATCATATGCAAACAATGCAGCAACATCAACAACAACAGCAGCAACATCTTAATCCACATCATTCTGCTGCCACAGAACAATCTCGACAAATTTCACCTACTTGTGGTTTTGATGAAGCTTCGATTCGTGTTAATTCGGTTGATTCTCGTAGTTGTCAGGTGAGTACAATGTTTTTTATTATTTGTTTATTGTTGTTTTTCTGTGACGGTAGTGAACAGTTTTAAATTGAAATACAATTTCATTGATTTCATAATGATAGAGGATGGATATATTTTTCAGTATCAAACTAGTTGGTAAATAATTTTAGGAAATTGAAAATTTATGCGATAAATCGATATACAAAATACATAGTTATAAAATGAACATTTTAAAATTAAAGAAACGAAAAATGTATGTTAAAAAAAAGAATATAATATCAAGAAGTCATAAAGAAACATTAAAAATTTATAAATAAAAGCGATCAACATTGAGATAGCGATGAGCCAATTCAATCAAATTCATATAGATTTGAAAGGAGACGATAATAATGCATCCTAGCAAACACTTCTCTTTCATTCATGTATGAAGTAACATTCTTTCATGTACTGAAGATCAAATATGATGGAAAATTAACGTGATCCCACATTTTTCACAGGAAAAAATACTATAATGATTATTTCTCTAAACATTTATTTTCATTCATAATATGTAAAGTTCATAAATAGATTTTGAAGGATGACGGTATTTTTAAGTTTTTTAATTATTTTCCTTAAAAATTTATAAAAATTGCATTTAATTTTTTTTACAATATTCACATATTAGCGAATTTTTTAAGATGTATACCTCAATATTTGAATTTTAAGAAACAAGCTATTATTTTCATAATTTAAAAAATTTTTCAAAATTATAAAAGTATAATTCAAATTTGAAATTAGAGTAAGTTTGAAAAACAAAATATGAAACATTTCATACTATTAAAGAAAATACTCTTAGATCAATGTAAACAGTTATTAGTATTTATGTTAAAACGTTTTTATGCGTTCCTTGTTTTAAGAAATTGAAGTGGAAACTATTTGTTTTTGGTACATTTACCAGACCAGTCAAATATTGCGATGTTATTATTTTGATTGATTTTGTTTTAGCCTATTAAGATTTCCATTAACTGCCCGTTCCTCTAGCTGCCCGTTCCTCTAATCAAATAGCATTTGCAAAAGAAATTTTCTTTAAAATTTTTATGTTGAAAGCAAAAATTTCGAAATTTTCCTAAATAACTACATATATGTATATTTAACATAAAGTGGTCAAAGCCAATCGAGATAACTTTGTAAAGAACTGGAAAAGAGGGGAATGGTAAAAAAATGATAAATACATGAACTAATGTATTTGGATATAACAAGATCAGCGCTGAAAGTTCAGAATCTTTTTTGAATGTTGACAGCTGATCAGGCTTGTATTTCTTCTGTAAAACAAAAACCTAAAAAAATATTAAAAAATAATGATAGCAATATATTTTTTGTTGGGCGTAGACAACAAATGCAAATGTCGAAGCAAATCTTTAGATACTGAATTGAGATACCATCCATAACAAATCTCTCAAAATGTCCGAAATAAAATAGACAGTTTTGAGGTACATATTTTAAACAAAATTTTGAATCAAATCCCTAGAACGAGTGGGCTTAAACATGGTTGGTATTCATTAAATTGAATTCGAAATCATGTTCGTAAAGAATTAAAGCTCTAAAACATGGAAATCTTAACAAAATTTGAACTCTTTTAGATTTAAAAATGTAAATTTAGTTTTATTTATGGCCAGTTTCTTAGAATTTTTAAGTATGAACTTACATATTTTCAAGATTAGAAATCAAATAGTTGACATTTAAAAAAAACCGGTTGATATTTTTCAAATTCAGAAAAAACGGTTAACCGGTTTTTCATTATAAATAAAAAAATATATTTTAATTTGAAAAACTTAATGTTTATGTTTAAATTTGATTCATAAAACATGGCCCGAAATGATTTTTAACAGTTTAAAAGATTATAACTTTAGATCTAGTCGTCTGATTTACATTATTTCTTTAATATAAAAAATTAGGAAAAAAGTGGGACACTTCTGTTAAACATAAGGTTCTATGTAATCCTAGCTTATTTTAAAAGCCCGGTTTAGGAAATTTGCATAGGCATTCCAACACTTCCATAAAATTTCAGCAGTAAATTAATTATTGTAATTGGAATATAATCTTAAGATTGATAAAATTTTATCAAACAGTTATCAATTTTACAAATAATTTTTTTTAATTAGTTAGGAAAATCAAAAAGTTTTAACCAAAGGACGGGCTGTATTATTATTTCCTTAAAATTTTCATTTAAATAATCTTTGAATACAAAGCAAATAAAAGTATTCGAAACCGGTTTTTAAAAAGTGAAAAACCGGGTTGTTCGATATTCGAAAAATCAACATTAAGAAAAAACCGACACTGGTAAAGCAGAAAAAACCGGTTGAAAAATCGAGTCGATCACCCTAATATGTACATATATGTTCGAAACTATTAAAATAATCTCTAAATTATGAGGATAAATAAAAAATGAAATTATAGTTTTATTTGAGGATAATTTCTTAAATGTTTCTATTTAAACTGAAAGATTTTGAAAACACATAATTTTAAAGTTTTTAATGTAATAAACGCTTTTTTAAAAATAAGTTACTTATAGAATTTTTGTAATGTTTTTTAAAGTTTTATTTCGGTTTAAGTCGTTTTCGTAGTGGTGATAAAACATATAAAAAATATCAAATTTATATTGAGAAAATAAAGTTGTGTTGTACGTAGTAATTTAGAGTGTGAAATGTTATTTTGTGTAAATGAAAATAGTGATGAATATAGTTCGAAATTAATTTTATTTTTGAAAACTTACAACTCTACTCCCAAATTCACAGACTCCAACGACAAATAATTCAAATACAAATACTATGATAACATATGCTAATAGCGAACAAATGCATGAAGGCTTAACGGCTGGTGGAGTAGGAAATGCAGGTCAAATGTCTATTGCTATGCAATCTACAGCAGGTGGTGTTTATATACCTATACCAATGACGGGAGGACCTCCTCCACCACCGCCCTATGGAATCTTTGCTCCACATCCAACAGCTACTGCTGGCGCTCACCCTGCTACCGGTGTGGGAATGCATCCTAATTATATGGCTGGACCACCGCCTCAAATAATAACACACTGTGGTTTACCACCACCTCCGGGTGCACAACAACATGCCGCCTTAACTGGTGGAATAAATTCTGCCAATGGAACGGATAATATGGAAAATGTTTGTAATAACGAAATGGCAACTAATAATGCAGGTCTTATTGGAATGCCACCACCAGGCATGCAAATTCAATGTCCCAATTATCCACCACCCATGCCGTTTTATTATTCAGCAAATAGTGTCAATTCTATGGGAGGTAATGGCGCTGCTGGAGGACCCTTGCCTAATGCAGCAAATGGTGTACATTTAGTATCTCCCTTCTCCCATCAAGTACCACCTTCAACACCTTCTAATCAAACAGCATTTGCTTCACCACATCCTTCTATGGCTACTGGACAGGTAACAATAAATGTGTTCCTTTAGTAAATGTCCGCTTTTTAAAGATCTTTTTAAGAAAAAGAAAATTGTTTAAAATAATTGTTTAATAGTTACTGCTACTTCATTAAATTTCTGTCAGTTTTATTCATTCAAATTATTTTATCTTTCTCTATCTCACAAAGGGTTACTATTGTTTACAACCACCGCCAACACTACCTCCTCAGCAGCAAGTAACACCCCAATTGATGCAGCCACAGCCATCACCAATGTCCGCTAACACTAGGACACCAAATTCCAACTCCTTATCACACGATATCAATAACGGTCCACGTAACGATTTAATACAACAAAATAATGATTAAAAATTAATTGATTTTTTTACAATTTTAATTCTATTGATTTTCATTTAATGATTGATGCTCATTCTCTACATTCTACTTTCAAATTATAATGTATTTTTCATACATTTCAAAACACAATTTTACCAGTTCTTGTTTTAAGCCATAAAAGCACATTCTTCTTTTATATTTATTTTAATATAAACTAAAAGTCTTTTTTCTAGTTTTCTTCACTCACAACATTAAAATTTTACTAGTAGATTTTAAATTATTACGTTTTGCTTAAAAAAAAAGTTTCCAAGACTCTTTTTTTAATATCTTAATATTAAAAAAAAAAACAATATTTATAACAATAAAGAGTTTTCTTTGTAGACAAAGAAATCTTTTAAAACCATTATCTATTAACTTAGTTTTTAAAGTGTGTTTATAAAATGTTTGAAAATTTTTGGCAGATTTAGATATATCGAGTAAAAATTTTATTTAAAATTTTGCAAGAAAAATTTCTTACAAGATTTTAAATATATTTTTGTTCTTATTACTAAATCTGCTGTTTTAACTTTTTCTAAAATTTTCATAGTTTAAACAAAAACATAAAACTTTTTAAATGTTGATTAGTATATTTTTTAAAATTAGCTTTTCTTCTACTTTATAGCTTCTTCTTTTCTATAAATTTTTTTGTTATTTGCCATAGTTATATTTATTTCAAATTTTTTGCTAAAAAACTTTCCTCCTAAAAATAGTGTAAAAAAATATTCGTTGATAAAATTGCCTACAATTCGATTTTAAACTAAATATTGTAAAAATCACCTTCGTTTAACAATTTCTTTTATTTGTTGATAGAAAATTTTAAATTTTCATTATACATTTTTTTAAAATTTAAATAAAATGTTGCCTTAACGAAATAATTAACAACAATACACTATTTGCTAATTTTTATTCAATTTAATTCGTAAATCTGTTTAAACATTTCGTTCTCTTATTTTATATAAATTTCATTATTATTTATTTTAAATAAACTTCATATTTTTCGTTATTTGTTAAAAAAATATCTGTATAAAATACTTGTAACTATGGCCTTATTTATTTCAAAGCAAATTTCTTTTCCCCTTCGATTAATCTTCAGTTTAATTTATATAATTAAATAAACTATTATTCCACAAATAAGTCTTACATATAATCTTGTAAAACTTTGTTTTTCAAGTCGTTTTATTATACTTTTTATAACATTTTCAAATTACTATTTATGATTCCTTTATAAAAATAAACAGTTTATCATATCTCTATCATCACACACATCTACTTTGTATATAAATTATATAAATATTGTTAAGTAAGTTATACTCTTTTATAAATTATCCTTAAAAAATATAAAAAAAAAAATTAAAAAAAAATTGTAAAACTAAAAAAAACACAAAAAAAAAGTTAAATAAAATAGCAAGTAAGCTTAAACTAAAAACAATTACAGTATGGTTTTATTTATTATAAATTAAGGGGGGTTAGACATGTCTTCGATTTGGATTGTAATCAATTTTGAGAAACTGTTGAAGTAGATAGTTTTCTCCTGTTGGTTTCAAGAAGTTGTTTGGGAATTTAAATGCATGAGCATTTTTACGAATTTTATTTAAAATTTTCGAAAATAGTTAATAATTTTTTGAAAACAACTTCGAATTCTCGAAAGATAAAGAGTGTATTAATATCGAACACCTGCCGTGTTGGCCTATTTTTCGGTGGTCTTTTTCAACCCCTGGGTGAGCTTTTGTAACGAACTAACACCGCCCCATTATGCTTCTTACATGCAGGTAGCAAATTAGGTCAATGGAATTTCAATTTGCTCAAGTACTTCCGTTTATAACCACGCAGATAGGATAGCCTCTAATGAGTCGGCAACAGCACCTAGAAACGCAGCCGGTAGGTCGAAATACGAATTCATCAAATAAGCCGACACTTTGTTCTTACTCACAGTGACACACTGTGGTAAATATGGTATGAACAGAGTTTACTCTAAACATACTTGGACAAGGGAGGGAAATTAAATATTTACACTTGTATAAGATACCTTTCATCCATCACCATTCAACCCTGCACACTTCTCATTTATCCGACACACTTATAAGAAAACAACATACGACAGACTCAATCTAGCTATACGGACGGATGAGTTCCGTATATCCCTACATTCATCCTTTATCATATACAATTAATACCAACTCATTTCCATCGCTTAGTCCCACAGTCACTCCTCTGTGGGGTATCTGTTGTCAATCGGCAACAGCACCGAACTTATCCCGAAATACAGATTTCACCGTGTATCAGTCCTTTAACCGCAACTTAGTCTTTCCACTAATTTGGGTTTAAACCACAGCCACTACGTGGTTCAACCAACAGACCAGCCAGGACAAGTCCTGCGGACCATCCGTAGTACCAGATTATGTGGTTCTCTGGTTTGACCCCATGCCAAATCATTTCAAGAACTAGCCGAGGAGTGAAATGACATCACCAGTTTATAGTCCCTGCAGAGTAGAGGTACTGGTAGCACCTTTTTAACCCCGGGATTGCAATACACCAAGATGAGGGTCTTTCATCTAGGAAACATGCCCCGGGGGGAGTAAATAAAGAGGGTTTGTCAGATGTTAAGCATTTATACTTGGCGCTGTTATAAAAGGGCCAAAAATGCTGTTTTTTAAATTTCAGGACACAATATATCAAATCCCATATTGTGATAGAGAAAACGCTTGACGATTATTTTACCAGCTTTAAATATTTTTGTACATTATTTCTATATTTATTTAGAACTTACGAAAATTGTTCATAAATATTTTTTAACACAACTTCGTATTCAAAATGGTATTTTTGAAGTTATCTTAAATTATATTGTAAAACTTCATAAAAATAACTTTAAAATTCATGAAAATTTTATAATTATTTTTTTTTTATATTTTAAAGTTCGAAATTTGAAATTGTTAAGAAATTGGCCTCAAATAAAACTAAAACTCTATTTTACTGATTTCTCGTGATTTACAGTTTATTTTAGTTTACAATTTTTTTTTGAAAATAACTTCGAATTGTTGGTTTTACAACTTTACAGCATATAACTACGAATTCTTTTTCGAAAATTATTTCAAAATTGTAGAATTTTCTAAAACTATATTGAATTGGAGATTGAAAAAAAATTTGGCTCAAAACCCAATGATTTGAAATTAATTAACATCGAATTTAATTTCGAAACCATTTTATATATCTTTGAACATAACATTTTTTAATTAAAACAACATAATTTTTTGTTTTTTAAAGAAATTTTTTTTAAATAAAAGTAATAAATAAACGATTTTGATTTTATTTTATTATTAAATAATATTTATTCAGCCATTTCTTCTTAACTAGTTTTGTTCTTATTCTATTGGCTTATTAAGTTGGGTGTGCCAATTTTTCGTTTACCAAACTGCAATGTATCGACAATACCCAAAATTAGTTCTAGAAATGTTTGTGATTTGGCCGCAACCTGTTGCGGTAGTTGCACTTCTCTTTGCAAATGTTTTATTAAAATAAAGTTGTTTTCAGTACGAGACCATAAGGGATTTTCATTTGTAATTATACTAGCCGCATTCAAAAAGAAAATCTTAAATAAACAAAATTTAAAATAACACAAAATTATTACAATTATTACTTAATTTTTCATTATTGTCTTAATTTACTTTTTCATTTGCCCATAGTAACAAAAAACACCAGCATAAACATTTTAAAACTGCTTCACTAAACATTGTTAAGTTAAAATTTTGTAGTTTTTCTTTAATCTTATTATTAAGCAAAATTTTAGTTTTGCCGTTTTAGCAGAAAATTTATTTACTTCAATTACATGGGCTTCGATTAATAACTTTAAACTGTTTAGATTTTCGTTAAATCATAAACTTTTATTGATATATTTTGAATCACTTGTATTAATAATAAAATTAGTTTTTATTTTAAATTGCATATTTTTTAATTTAACGTATATTGTTCGCCATTAACCTTTACGTTTGGGAGAACAATATTGAGCAGTAGACTCACGTGAAGCCTTTACATGTTATGACAATTAGTTTTGTGTAGAACAAAATGATTGTGATTTTTTATGTTTTAATATGGCTACACACAAATACATATATAATTTTAGCATTTTACTGAATAATTATATTCAAAAATCGAAAAATACCAAAATATTTTAAAGAAGTCTTAATATATGAAAGTACTCGGCTATAATTTTTCGACAGATTAACGAATTGACATCGCTAAGTTCTTTTTCGCTTTTATTTTTTTGTATTATTAGTTTAGAAGTGTTATTCACTACAACCCCATTTGAAGACCATCATAATAAGGTTCCATTGTGATATAATCTCTAAATCGTTTGGATTTGAATTCAATTTCCCATTTCGGAATTAATTATAGAATTCCAATTTGGCTATAAATGTTTTTCTTGAAGAATTTTTAAAACAAGAAGATTTTTAAACAATTTTCGGTAAATTCGAAGTTATGTTCGAAAAAATTTAAAGCTGTTAAAGTAGTCGCTAAACTACTAACAAACTTATTTAATATTTGGAAAACTTGGAGCAAGTGACGTCGCCATAATATGGTAAAAAGCGAGGTCTTTTCGAACAGATCAATCCTTTGCTATACTTTTCTTGGCCTGTATTAGCAATTTCAAATAAAAATGAGAAAAAAAACTCTTGCTTAAAAAACTGGTTTCATAGAACGTCTCTAGACTCTATAACACTTACACAGAACCAGTTCTGATGGCGACTATTTGATGATAAATTTAATAGAAGAAAATAGTGGCGAAATTGCTGAAAAATTAAGTGCCAAAACAGTCTTCTAAAGCTTCTTTAGAACTGGCTGTATGTAAATAGTACGAAGAAAAATCACTGATTAAATAATTGTATTTAGAAGCTTTCCCAAGAACAAGTGTCGACTCCATAACGCTTCCACATAACATGTTCCGAAGATGTACATTTCAGAAGAATAAATGTCATGAGAGTTTTCTAAATTGAGAAAATAGGAATTCTTTAACTGTTTCTCAAAATTGGTCCCAGTCTTCACAACTTCAAACAAAAATAGCTGAACAAATAGTTGCAGAACTGTTTTAAGACGTTCTTTCCTAGAACTTGTTCCGAAGATGACAATTTAAAAATAAAAGCTTTGATTCCATACAACGAGTGTTGAATTTATAACGTTTTCACACAAGCTGTACGTTAGAAGACAATTTCGAATAAATCAATCGTTAATCTTAACGCTAAAAATTAACGAATTGGGCTATAATCATACTAACTAATCACCCCTATTATGCATTTCAATTCGATTCAAAATTTTCTCCGTTTGGCAACTTTGGTATTCTACATTTCGATTTAAAGCTCCGCCACTAAAATAACAACTTACAAAAACGCAGTTACAATCGTAATACAGAATACACACAATCGTAAAGCATTGAAATAATATCGAATTGCTCCTTATTTTTCTTACGATTCCGTTTTTTGTTGGAATACCAATTTTTCGATCGTAGTGTAACTGAATGCGGAAACTTAATCGAAATGCAGAAGGGGTGAATATCATTTTGGAACTAATAAAATTTTTTTTGAACCACCACTAATAATTATCTCATTATTTTCTTAAAAATTGTATAAAAACGTTTTATTAAAAACTACAACATACATGGTACAAATATAAAAAAATCTTTTCTAACAAGTACTACACGCATTGCTAGGAAGCAACTCCCCACATTCTTAGAGAATGTTAATATTTAATATGATGGGGGATTGTAAGCGGGTTGGCTGTATGAAGGAGCAGCAGCTCCGTAGCCACCCGAACCAGAAAGATTAGCCAAAGCGGCTAAACCTTGATTGTTTTGTAACAATTGGTAACCAGCATTGGCCGCACTATCAACACCAGCGCCAGGCACGGCACCAGCAAAACCAGCCGCACCACCTCCAGATAGAGCTGAGGCACCAGCACCAGCACCACCAGAACCGGCACCAAAACCATTACCACCGAGGCCGCTGATGGCACCAATTGGTGCAAAACCTGCATTTACATTGACGGGGGCAAAACCAGCTTGAGGAGCGAAAGCAGCTTGTTGTTTCTCATTGACAAAGTATTTCTCTGCTGGAGGCTTAACAACATTGACATACACAGGCTCAACCTTGACAGGACGTGGGTGATGTTTGACGAACACCTTGCGTACAACAACTGCTGGGGGTTTGTGTAAAACAACTGGGGCGGGTTTGACGACTAGTGGAGGATGATTGACTACGACCTTAGTGGGAGGGCGTTTGACAATAATGGCTGCGGGACGGTGTATAAGAATTTCACCTTTGTTGTTGGGATAAGAAATGGAGGAGGAGACACTGTTGCCTCTAGTGTTGGCGGGTTGATAGGGAATATTTTGATTACTGCCAAAAGCAGAAGGTGCAGCACTGGCAAAACCAGCAGCAGCATCACCAGCATTAGCTGAAGCACCAGCACTGGCCGAACTAGCACCATCACCAGCGAGCCCTGCTCCAAGACCACCACCTAGTCCAGCACCATGAGCGGCACCTTGCAATTGGAATTCACCAGCACCACCATCACCACCCATTGCTTGGTGTTGGTATCCGCCTCCGGAAGAGTAACCACCACCGGAAGAGTAACCACCATAGACTTGAGCAGATGCCTAAATTTATTAAAATGTTAAATTAATAAAATAACCGGAAGTTACAATGTAAAATTTATACAAAAAAATACATACAATTACTGCAACGCTAAGTGCAATGAAGAAATGATTCATTTTCTGTTGCTTGTCTTCTTTATTCCCAAATCACAATTTGGTTTTATGGAGCTGCTCTTCTTTTTCTTTTGTACTTGAGTCTCAAGGCAACAACTAATTGTTGACTGATGCTTCGGTTAACCAGCATCATGTATTTAAATATGATTTCACAGACATTCGAATAAAACTTTTTCAATACCGTCTACAATAAATTCACTTCCAAATACGTGACATTTAGGCCGTTGCTAATGTTTGGCATCAGTTGTAAAGTTCTCTCCAATCTTTTTAGCTGTATTTACTAGTGATACATGATTATAAGTTAGATTGCAAATTCAATGAAATTTAATACATATTTTTTATTCTTTTACTCATTTCAAATATTTGCTAATAATAGCTGGTAGTTTATTTAGCATTTTCTTTTATGAAAATTAGATAGTTTATCTTTTAAATATGTGAAGTGTTATTTTAAATAGATTTCTATAAAATTGTTTAGTGAAAGGGTTTTGTTAGCGATACAAATGTAGACCCGAGCAAGCAAAAATTTTTATTTTATGACGATTACATTTACATTTTGCAAACTATTTCTGAAAGTCTGAAAAGTGGAATTTTCTTCAGATATATATCTTCAGATATATATGTATAACTATATTTTATTAATAGTTTTATAAAGATGTTTTTATTTTTGTAATGAAAAAGTTTTTATGGTGTAATAAGTAAGACTGTCAGTTTGGCGATCGTGTTCGATTCCCAACAGCGACTTTAGTCCGTTAATGAAAATGATAACTAACTAACTAACTAACTAACTAACTAACTAACTAACTAACTAACTAACTAACTAACTAACTAACTAACTAACTAACTAACTAACTAACTAACTAACTAACTAACTAACTAACTAACTAACTAACTAACTAACTAACTAACTAACTAACTAACTAACTAACTAACTAACTAACTAACTAACTAACTAACTAACTAACTAACTAACTACTAACTAACTAACTAACTAACTAACTAACTAACTAACTAACTAACTAACTAACTAACTAACTAACTAACTAACTAACTAACTAACTAACTAACTAACTAACTAACTAACTAACTAACTAACTAACTAACTAACTAACTAACTAACTAACTAACTAACTAACTAACTAACTAACTACTAACTAACTAACTAACTAACTAACTAACTAACTAACTAACTAACTAACTAACTAACTAACTAACTAACTAACTAACTAACTAACTAACTAACTAACTAACTAATTGTGCTGCTGGAAGCACAATTTCGGTCAATTTCCATTATTATTCATTACTAGCTATACCCAGTGTGCTTTGCTACCCTAAATTGGAATATGTATAAATATAAATCCCACTTAACAATTTTGAAGATTCTAACTACAACAGTTTTCCAGATTTATAATATGTTACATATGAGAGGTGTCAAGCAAATTATTGCAAGTTCGCCAGTTTCCATCTATCGCCAATTTCTATCTATCTATGGGGGGCTTCAAGCTGTCCACATGAAAGTCCAAAATGTTCAGAGGTCCAAATGTTCAGAGGTTTTAACATTTTATAGAAAAATTTATTTTTACGTAATTTTCTAGAGGGACCTTAAATGGAGGTAGGGTTAATTATGGACTAATCATCATAAATGTTGGTTAAGAGATTTCGGTTTATATAAAACTTATTTATGGCGAATTTTATCGCTATACTGGTATTTTTAAACAGTTATGTATGTTTAAACTGTATACCGGAGGTCCACTTGTATGAGTGTTAGTAGAAAACAACGACCGATATTGCCCATTTTCAATATCAAACAAATTGCATCAATAGAGAATATTGCAAATATTAGCTTTCCGTTGCAAATTTCAAGAATCTGCAGTAATTCTGTTTGCTCTCGATCGAAAATCTTTTATTTAGTATACATTCTAAAATTTTTCCTTCTTAACTCTTTTAATCTTTGGTTTATTTATGAAAAAATCTTTAAAAATAATACACACATTATTTAAAATTTATATATAAAAAATAACATTTTTTATTGAGTACAAAATGTTCACGTAACCTAATTATATTACGAATAAAATTCGAGTCAACGTGTAAATAATTTAAAATTTAAACTACACTCGGGCCAAATCAATATGCTGGCTGAGCTCCATAGGCAGGTTGAGGAGCTACATACTGAGCTGCACCAGCGTATTGAGCACCACCAAATGAAACTTCACCAACTCCAGCAGAGGCACCAGCTGATGAACTACCACCAAAAGAACTGGCAGCTTGACCATAAGCAGGGGCGGAAACGGGAGCATCAACTTGCTTGCCGGGTTTGTACACTTTAACATATACTGGGTTGAGGCTAAGTGGTGTGGGTACTTTGTTTATAACTTCTTGTTGATAGATGATGGAAGGTTTCAATTTATATACAACGGGAGCAGCTCTAACAACAGCCGGGGGACCACTGCTAATTTGAGCGGGGGGTGAACCAGGTTGGTTGACAATAATGGGTTGTAGAGGTTGTGTGGCAATAACTTGATGATTGTTTAAACCTTGAGGAACCAAGAGGGAACGGAATGCGGTTTGTCCCACAACATTGGGAGCCACCACATTGATGTTGCCTTGACGTATATTCGAAGCCAAAGTGTTTTCAGCCAAAGTCTCAGCAATAGTATCTGAATTTTTGAGATTTTGATAGGAGGGATTGGCATTCAAAGCTTGGAGCTGGGCATTGGCTTGAGCTAAACCAGCTTGAGCGGCGGGTGAGGCACTAACATCGGCGGTGGCGGTAAGTGAAGCAGCAGCTTGTTGGTTGGCAGTAGCAGCATTAATAAGTTCTTCAACACCATTGCCAGCATAGCCGCCTTGACCATACGGAGCGTGACCATAGCCAGCAGCTGCAAACTATGTAAAAATGTTATTTAGATTTCGATTAAATTTTAATTTATTTATATAAACCTACCGGTAAAGCAATGGCAACAAATGCTAAAATTAAATGAGGATTCATGATTACTAAAATTTTACGTTTGTTTGAGGGGTTAGGCTCTCTCTTAAAAACCCACAACTTTTACTGCTTATTGATTTTGTTAAACTTCTGGCTTTTATATATTTAAATATTGAAAGTATAAGCTTGGTACGTGAGTTTTTGTTGAAAAAATAATTTTAATTCAAATTTTATTTATTTATTTTTTTTTATATTTTATCTTCTGCGATACTTTAACATGATGATGATTATATGTTAAATTTAAGGTCAGATAAATGTTGGAAATTTTAAACAATTTGTTTAAAAAATTGGTCTTCCGTTAAGATTGTGTAGAGAAATCTTGTGTCATTATGGTTTAAGAGGTGAGTGTAATAATTAACTAAAAATTAAGAAATTATCAATTTAAAATGCGGCTGGATCAAGTACTCTTCCTAAGGAAATGTTTCAATTCAGTTCGAACCGAAAAGATTTGAAACGGACTGGAATTGATTTTTCATTTTCTTACGATTCAGTTTTTTATTGGAACTGAATGCTGAAATGCCAAACAAAAATCCAGTTCAAGGGATATAGAAAAATGTTATGTTTAAACCAATTGAACATTTCAGCTATATTCATTCAGTTCGAAATTGACGCTATCTTAAATAAATCTGTAAAAGCGTTATAAAGACTACATTAGATTCTGCAAAAAGTTCATTAATCGATAATTTTTGTATCACCTTCCGTACTTGTTCTAGGGACAAAGGAATATATTATAACTTTCAATACTTTTGCTATATTCTTTCAGATCGAAATTGACACTTTCGGAACTGTCAAACTTTTAAATCTTCACTATTTTATAAGATGTATACCGAGTATTTTCTGCATTGTAGATTAAAAATCCAAAGGGAAGATATATAAATATCGTGCTCATATACTATCGACTAAATTGGCATCAATTGTCCAGATAAATAACGGTCATATTCCTAATCAGTTAAGTCTAGTATGTCGGATGTGTGGTGGAAGGGAATTCAGCATCAGAGTCTGATGGTTGGGTAACTCGGCAGATGTCATGATGACAGAAACTGTCTAATCGATCGAAATCTCAATAGAATTTAAATATATATTTCTATCGATATCATATGGCGTAATTCGGGCCCTGCTCTCCTCGTCTAGGTGATCCATGATTTGTCATTAATATACGTCCAGTTGTGACTCAGAGTACATTGTCAATTCAGTTCTAATTCAGTTCTAGCTCAGTTCTAGTTCAGTTCTAGTTCAGTTCTAGTTCAGTTCTAGTTCAGTTCTAGTTCAGTTCTAGTTCAGTTCTAGTTCAGTTCTAGTTCAGTTCTAGTTCAGTTCTAGTTCAGTTCTAGTTCAGTTCTAGTTCAGTTCTAGTTCAGTTCTAGTTCAGTTCTAGTTCAGTTCTAGTTCAGTTCTAGTTCAGTTCTAGTTCAGTTCTAGTTCAGTTCTAGTTCAGTTCTAGTTCAGTTCTAGTTCAGTTCTAGTTCAGTTCTAGTTCAGTTCTAGTTCAGTTCTAGTTCAGTTCTAGTTCAGTTCTAGTTCAGTTCTAGTTCAGTTCTAGTTCAGTTCTAGTTCAGTTCTAGTTCAGTTCTAGTTCAGTTCTAGTTCAGTTCTAGTTCAGTTCTAGTTCAGTTCTAGTTCAGTTCTAGTTCAGTTCTAGTTCAGTTCAGTTCTAGTTCAGTTCTAGTTCAGTTCTAGTTCAGTTCTAGTTCAGTTCTAGTTCAGTTCTAGTTCAGTTCTAGTTCAGTTCTAGTTCAGTTCTAGTTCAGTTCTAGTTCAGTTCTAGTTCAGTTCTAGTTCAGTTCTAGTTCAGTTCTAGTTCAGTTCTAGTTCAGTTCTAGTTCAGTTCTAGTTCAGTTCTAGTTCAGTTCTAGTTCAGTTCTAGTTCAGTTCTAGTTCAGTTCTAGTTCAGTTCTAGTTCAGTTCTAGTTCAGTTCTAGTTCAGTTCTAGTTCAGTTCTAGTTCAGTTCTAGTTCAGTTCTAGTTCAGTTCTAGTTCAGTTCTAGTTCAGTTCTAGTTCAGTTCTAGTTCAGTTCTAGTTCAGTTCTAGTTCAGTTCTAGTTCAGTTCTAGTTCAGTTCTAGTTCAGTTCTAGTTCAGTTCTAGTTCAGTTCTAGTTCAGTTCTAGTTCAGTTCTAGTCAGTTCTAGTTCAGTTCTAGTTCAGTTCTAGTTCAGTTCTAGTTCAGTTCTAGTTCAGTTCTAGTTCAGTTCTAGTTCTAGTTCAGTTCTAGTTCAGTTCTAGTTCAGTTCTAGTTCAGTTCTAGTTCAGTTCTAGTTCAGTTCTAGTTCAGTTCTAGTTCAGTTCTAGTTCAGTTCTAGTTCAGTTCTAGTTCAGTTCTAGTTCAGTTCTAGTTCAGTTCTAGTTCAGTTCTAGTTCAGTTCTAGCACAGTTCTAGTTCAGTTCTAGCTCAGTTCTAGTTCAGTTCTAGCTCAGTTCTAGTTCAGTTCTAGTTCAGTTCTAGTTCAGTTCTAGTTCAGTTCTAGTTCAGTTCTAGCTCAGTTGTAGTTCAGTTTTTTTGTATTAACATTTTATGTTTTGGGGATCCGCGCATAATGATATGGCTCAATTGACAAGCCACATAAAAACCAAGATTCGTAATCTTTCAAAAAATCGAAAATTAGATTTCTTTTACATCGTATTTCGATTCGAAAAGGCTTTCGAAACACAATGTATTAAACATACAAATTCGAAAATTTTATTTGCTAATGGAGATTAATACGACACGAGTGTTAAAGTGATATTCTATAGAAATCCAGTCATGGGAGATAGTGTTAATTATAAACCTAACTTTTAAGGATTTAATAGAACAATTCGTTTTTTACAACTTATTCCAAAATTTGTATATACGATTCTTCTAAACAAATTCAAAGAATCCTAAATTATCAGATTGATAGCCAATGCTTTTTTAAAACAACAATTTAAATTTATTTAATAAATAATTTTATAATAAATAATCTTAAAACTAAATCAGTTGAATGGAGTTCACCTAGAAGATGATGGAGCAAATGAATCAACCGGAAGTTGAGTCAAAGACATGAGGGCAATAGGCAGTGTTTGATAGGAATAGGGTTGTTGTATTTGACTGAGTGTAGCGGCGGTATAGTCTGTTTGGGAAATGTGTTGGTGTTCTTGTTGTGTCTCATGAACATTTCTTGAGTGTACTTGAGAATGTGTAGGTGTAGTGTAAGTGTGTGTGTGGTGTTGGTCTTGGTGGTTTAGTGATAAATTTGGAATTTGCTCGTAATACAAATTGGCATTTTGATCATTTAATGAGGGTAATTTTTGTTCATTCAGTGGATTGGGATTTTGGTTACTCGATGGTAAATTGGGTATTTTTCCCGTATATAAATCAGCTTTTTGATGATAAATAACCGGAGGCATTTGCACAACTAATGGTTCGTGTTCGCCATTGATTTGATGTTCTGATTCCTCAATTTCGGGTAAATTTACTACTATAGGTTCATGTATGGCTTTCAGCGGACTCGGGGGTTTAACTTTGATTATTTTCTGTTTGTATTTATTGTGTATGATTACTTTCTTTTTGTTATTCTTTAATGTTTTCTTGTTATTAATCTGATGGTGTGAGTATTTATCTTTGTTGTTGTGTTCTGAGGTAGTAGGATTTGTATTAAATATTTCTGGTTTCTCTGTAGGATATATTTTATCATCTAGTTTATATAAAGATTCCACTGGTATTTGTTTGTTATCTTCCGTTGGTTGTCGTACAAATCTTGTACGTTTCTCCACTTTATTTTCTACGTTATAGGATTTATGGTGTTGCAACTCCTGCGGATGTTTGTTGTCTATTTGTACTACATTATTATCACTATCCACTTGCAAATGTACAGCATGACGAAAATCTTCTCCTAGATATTTCAACCAAAATGTTTCATCCAAATCATCGCCTGTGGTAAAAATACGTGTAGTTTGACCTTTACTACGTCCCGAGGCTGTCTCTTTGGCTACATCTATATAGTCATATTTGGGATGTTGCAAGTTTACAATTTCCGTTGTTGCTAACTAATATTATGTAAAAGAAATTTTTTTGTTTAAATTTCACTTTAAACATTTATAAATATTAAATTTTCTAAACTTACATTGATTTTTGTTGTTATTAGAGCAATTAAATTTATAATTATATTTATTTTTAAATGTTTACCATATTTCGGCATTGTTGATGTTTTAATCTTTGACTCGTCATTCTAACTGATGCTATTGACTACTCTTAAATCTCTTAAATATCTCTGCAATTGTTGGTCTATAGAATTATGTGCTGATTTAGCTGATTCTTGAGCAAAATACGTGATAAATTTTCTTAAATGTTGAATGAATTTTTTTGAATTTAATTTCAGTTATGTTGTTTATATTTGTATGAAAATACACTATTTAAATGAGATTTTTTTGTAAAATTAACATTCCATTTAAAAGTAAATAACCTTCTTGCGTTTGTTTCATTACTCCAAAGCATGTCGGTTTGACTATTATTGGAATATGACCTTTTAGACCTATTTCCTATGTTTTGTAAACATAATTATTATATACAAACATTTTTGTAAATAATTCATTAATTCATTAATAAACATTTTGAATTGTAATGGACTTTAACTTTCAATTACAAAGAGTCATTGCATCAGAAAAAGATAGTGATTTCCACTTACATCTAACCACCTAGTTGGCTCTAATTCGACTTTCGTTACGGATGTACTCTTTGCAAAAGAGGGTGGTCATTATAAGCGAGAGAGTGGAAACTTAAAAAACAAACTTAAGCTTTTTGTCTGTCTCTTCGTAATCTATATGTGACGATTGACTTCCTCGTAGGAAAAGCACATGTTAAAATAGCTAGTCACCTGGGCAGTCGGTGGTTAGGGGTTATCCTAAGTGGTAGTTCGAACTGGACTGTCCGTTCTTAGTTTTTTTAAGTCGTGCATTCGAGTTTCCAAAACATAGTAAATTTCAGCAGCACACTAGTCTAACCTTCGAGTCATGTCGTTTACTCAATATTCTATTAAAAATTTCTTCTGTTTCGAGTTTTTTCTATAAGGCTGGATTCGTTAAAGCTTTCTAACGAGCTGTGAAGAACATTAAGTTAAAATTCATACAAAACCTCGGTGAATAGATTTAAAAATATGATAAAATCGAATTGTTCAGTTTAGAATGTTTTAAAGTTCGTAGTTCTTAGTTTTTTGAAGTCGTGCATTCGAGTTTCCAAAACATAGTAAATTCCAGCAGCACACTAGTCGAACCTTCGAGTCATGTCGTTTACGCAATATTCTATTAAAAATTCCTTCTGTTTCGAGTTTTTTCTATAAGGCTGGATTCGTTACAAAACCTCGGTGAATAGATTTAAAAGTATGATAGAATCGTCATAGCGGCGTTAACGGATCGTCAAAGTCTTGTCGGTTATACAAATGTCTCTACTGTTTCCAGTGTTTTACTTGGCTGAAGTCGTTACTACTTCGGCATAACATCGTTGAGCGATCTACAAAGTCTTATCGGTTGTGCAAAATTCGTACGTTTTTTAGATGACTAAAGTTGTTAAAGTATTTTAACGTGGTGTGAAAAACCTCGATGAATAGATTTAACAATATTTAGCAGCGTCGTAAACTGATTCTCAATGTTTTGTCGGTTATACAAAATTATTCCGTTCCAAATTTTTTAGTTGGCTGGAAGTGCAGAAAGTTTATCCTTATTTCGATTCGAAATAAAAGCTTCTTATAAAAACTTAGTTTCTGGAATGACTCTGCCTTTGCCAATATATAACTTGAAATAGGCTTAAATCTATCGATAATCTCTTCTGTTCCCAGTTTTATATAAAAATTTATGTCAGCTGGTCAATAATTGGACCTAAGACTCGTAGAAGTTTTATTGGCAATATATTCTTTTAAGAATATGCCTAAATACGTTATTAATGGTTTTACACTGTTTAAAAATCGAGTCTGAATGTGCAACATAATGGTGTCCATTGCTGCAATTCTTTCCAACATATATCGTTTATCGTAATGGATCGTGGACTAAGTACAAAGTAGTCATCCCTATAGGAAAAAGATTTTGTTTATGAAACCGTATTATAAATCTAGAGGTAAATAAACTTTCATCAAAGATCGGTGATTACACCTTGCCTATTTTACAATTATGAAATCTGTAGAAATCACTGCTCAGATGGTTTAGTTGCCTTCTTAGACACTAATCCCACTCTGATTATTTACATCTTCACTTCTGTTGAAAGATTCTTGCTCCGCAGAATGTGAGTAATTATCACCTCAAATGTATGGCTCAAGAAGATGGAGTACTATTTACAATATCAGTTTTGAAAACCTTTGAAGTAAGCTGCATTCATCAAAAATCGGTTCTCATGACATTGATAAATCTATTACATCGATCTTTACAATAAAAAGATTCTTGTCCCGCGGAATCATTATCTCATCAATGAGTTCAAACATTATCACAAGAATGGCAAAATGGGGACCCATATTTTGTGGGGAATAACACTCCAAGTGGAGTGTTATTCTTTCGTAGAAGGACACTTATAACTAAAATGGTAAATCGCGGCAACTTACACTTTCTCACCTATAAAGAGTCTTGCTGTGAACTTTATGAAAAATGAAATTTGAACTAAAATCTTTACATTGAAGCTTAAATAAGATGAAATATTAGGTCAAGTTTTTTCCCACCAGTTAGTTACTTAACTCAATAATCTCGCAAAACAATAATAAAATGCGTTTTGAAATATTTAATTTAGACAAAAATAATTTTATTTTTAAATTAACAATTTTTAAAAATATATAAAAAAAACTAGTAGTAAAAATTAATGCCGACACATTCGCATGTCAAAAGGTCTTCCAAAATGCTCAATTGCAATTAAATAAACGCAATTTATTGTTTAGGCTGGTGAGTTAGTAACTGCAAAAATATGAAAAGAAAAAAACATCAAATTATTTAGAGAACTAAAAAGATGTTTTTTTTTATTAAAAACTAAATTCTTATTAACATGAACTTAATAACTAAAAATGGACTTAAGACTATAAAAGAAGAAAATAAAATAAATAATTAAATTTTATTGATAATAGGGAGGAGAAGGAGGACTATGAACATGAGCCGCAACTGGAGCATGATAATGAGTTTGATGATGTGTTTGCACTGGATGTTGCGATTGATGCGACTGATCATCACCCAACCAACCATTCCAGTTACCACTCATAAGATTTTTGAAAAATGCTTTAGCTTGCTGCTCTTGTTCCCCCAATGGATCCACATAAGCACCACCACGATGTGAACTGGCCTCAATAAAGTCGGAATGTTTATTTACAATTTCGGCTATAATTTGATCTAGTTGGGCATTTGAGACAGGCTGAACATTAGGGGTGGGATATTGTGCACCAACTAAGGGAGCAGCATCTAATAAAGCTGGAGCATAAGGATTGTGAGGAGCTCCTACATATTGTTGAGGCACTGGATCAAAACCGTAAGGATCATTGGCATTGGCAAAAGGTCTAGGAATGTGTTCAAAACTAGTGAGAGGTTCTAATGTATAGCCAGGATTAGGAGTAGGATTATGGCCGTTAAAAACCAAAGGACAACCACCACCATAATCCGCTGCATTACGTTTGGTATGCGTGGATGTTATAGAATTATCCACATCTTTTTCTTGCTCCTCTTCTTCTTCCCCTTCCGCCTCAACTGCTGGATTATTGGGCTCAGTAACACTTAAAGTATCTTGGTTATTATCATGACTTTCGGTGGAAGTCATTGTAGTGGTTTCACTAGTCGATGTGGTGCTGCTGGTGGTCATTGTTGTGGTAGTGGTAGACTCTGTAAGATCAGGAAGTTTACAACCAAAATGACATTGATTTCTTTTGAAATTTGGATCTAAAGTTTCGGGCATATATTGTATGATTTCTGGTAAAGTTAAATCCATTTCTTCACGTTCTTTTTCAATTAAATCATATTCACCTTTTATATCACGTCGATTTCTAAAGCGTGGCAGCGTTAGAAAACTTGTCAATTGCTGCAAGGGACGACGATTTCTGGCTGGTGCCGCCGCTGCTATTGATCTCGGTCTGATGGGTTTTCTAGTTTCAGCATAAAATGCCTTATTACTAACGGGCTCCTTTAAACGTTTGTTATACTGTTTGACCACACGATCCGAACGTTTTTCATTCTTACGCGGTCTCATAAATATGCGTGATATATCACGCTTGTTGCGTGATTTCGAAGCACCCGATTCGCTTTCATTTAATGGTTCCAAAAATATGGCCATAATTTGTGAGGTTGCTGGCTTAATGTTGTCTATACTGTTGGGGTGTTGAAAGTTACGCGCATAACGTGTTGCACGATTTTCGGGCGATACGTACCTTTTGGCGCATCGATTGCAACCGCAAGTGTTGGGTACTTCTTTGGCCGCCAAGCAATCTGAAATATAAATAGGAGAATTTTTAATTTGTTGGATCAAAAAATTGAAAATCATTACACATTTTTTAAATATTAAAGATCTAAAAGTAAAATTATTTTAGTTGAACCAACTCTAAGATCTTATATAAACATATTACAAACTCACCTTTTTTATGAGCCGTAATACGATCGATTTTTGCAAATATTTCCAATTTATCCTCTGGTGGGGGTGGTGGTGCTTTCGGTTCTTCTACCGTAAAATCAAAACTATAGGTTACTTTAGCCTTAGCCTGTATAGGCACATCTAATTTGTAACCATATTCCGCCGGTTTATATTCTTTGGGTGGAGGTGGTGGTGGTACATTCACTAAATAATTTAAATTTTTCGGACAAGCACAACTATCACCCGTATAAATCACTTCAATTGGAACAGCCTTTATACACGTTATCTACGATAAGTTAATTTCTCATATGAAAATAAATTTTAAACTTTATGTCAGTTTTTACTTCTTACCACTCCTAAAACTCCTATCATGGAGCCTATTAATAAAATCTTTAATTTCATAATTAAACCGTTGTAGTCGCAGTTGTCAATTTTAACGATTATACTAATCAGATTTTATCTTAAACTAGCATTTTATATAAATTTTCTCATCTTGTGAAATTCTTATAATTCTTATATTTTTGTTATAAATTTTTGTGATATTCTTTTTATTTTCTTTAACGAACGTGGCTTTGAACTTGAATATTTTCATGTAGTTTAATGTAGTTTCTTCAGCTTGAGTTTATTCGAAATTTAAGTTTTTTGTGTGTTTTTCCAAAAAGTTTTTTCAACCCAGCAAATTTTGAGGGGCAAAATGATTATTTCCGTATTTTATTTACTGTGATTTACTTGAATAATATAGCGGAATGATTGAATTTCGAAATTACACAAAAAGAAAAATGTTTTTCTAAATTTAAGTTTATTTAACTTACATGTGCTTTCACTTTTTAACTATATAATTCTCATTTGGTTAAGAATATTTTCCTAATAAAGAGGATTTTGTCACGATATCAAATCTAAAACATAATTCTTGAAATCAACAAATTTTGGAATTAAACCATATTAAGTTTATTTCATATGAAATATGCATTCGAACTTAAATTGAACCGAAAATTTTTAGGAAGGATTCTCCCTAAAGGATAAAATTATTCTTAAGTTTTAAAAATTTTGAAACATTACTGGACATTTCCCCGATATAAATGCATGTAACATACGAGACTGCACTCACAGAGGAACGGCCGATTAGGATAATTGAATACGCCAGCAATGTATGTATACCGGAAACAAGAATTGCCGGGACCTAATCCTATCGTGTTCAAGTAGAATATTAAACCAAACCCCTGTGGGAATAATAAAGTTAAACCGAAGAAGTTAATGGACTTTAAGAGAGCCGTAATCGAATACTCTTCCAATGGTAAACACAGCATCATATGGATATCATTCTATTCAGGGATAATTGGTAATGAAAGAGCAAATGTGATTGCTATAATGACAAGAAAGTCTGAGGAGGAATGGGCGAGATAATCACTCCTAAAGTTAGTCACAAATATACACAATTCTACGAACGGATTCAGTCAAAAATGAAGCATGCAATGAGCACAGTGAAGCGCTTCTCCTGTGCATTATCAGATATTCGTCGAAATTGGATTTAAATATTTTCGGTTCAATGGTCGGTTCAGAAATACTGGCTTAAAAATTATAAGGAACTACATCCAGGAAATTAAGTTTCTGAACATGGACGTTAATTCCAATAAAAGATCTATATACATATAATTATTACACCAATATTTTTCAATAAAAGGAGCAAACAACTGACCCGTTAGCGGAAATTGAAAGAAGTCGAAAAGCTAACTTTTCAACTAAGGAATCCAAATAGAAAAGGGATGTCAGGAAATATGTTTCCTTTTTTCTTTTATTCGCTCATAACTTCTTTTTTGTGAAAAAATTCCATCTGTCATGAATTTTTGTTCTGAAATTTGTAAATTTCAAGTAACTATTACGAACAAAATCAACTATTGTGAATGAAAAGTTCACGGAACATTCATGATACCATAATATCAACCAATTTACATATTTTTCATATCATAATGTCTTTGAGTGGAACTCAAACTATTAAAAATAACTTATTGTGCATGAATTTTTGTATACGAGAAAAAGAGGGGTGGGAAAATATGTTCGTCATTATTCTTAAGTGTGTCTCGTAATTTTTAAAATATAGCGGATCCAAAAAAAATTTTAATTTTCTTAATAAATTTTGATATATTTTTACTATTTTAGATCACTTTTAGTAGATCAAAAGTGTATGATCATTTACGGTTATGTGGTGGTATATTTAGGAATTAGCCTATTAATCGAATTCGAATAAAAATGTCTTCTCAGCATAATTTAATTATTAAAATCTATCTTATAAACCCATTTATTATTTTTCTTTGATTTCCATTTTAAAATTATACTAGATTATTCTAAACTTTTTTTTTTTTTTTGTTTATTTTTACTGATTGTATTATATTATTGTTCTAAAATATTCAAAATGGTTTTATTAAATTTTAGCTGATAATACAAAATAACGTTAAAAATATTGCAACGAAAATAAAAAAGAAACAGACTTAAGTATACAATTGGCACAATCTGTATATAGGTTAATGTACGCTTAACGTAAAACTATGTCTCTCTCTGTGTTTTTAAACCGGAAGAGAAATTTTTGAGTTCTTTAAAAAAAAGAAGATCCAATTTCATTCAGCGAAATGCTATGATAGTTTATAATATCAAATAATGTTAACTACTGCATAACATGGTGATATATGTATAATTAACTATAGCTGATAGTAATTATCTTAAAAGATTCAATTTTACTATTTCTACTACATATAAGTAATCTTTAAAAACGTTTATGCAATTTTCTTTATATTAGTAAATATAATGAAATGTTGCAATATTTGTAATGATTATGTTCATATTTATTTTTCAAATGAGGACTTTGTATTATGAGAGTGCAATGAATGTTTCTATATCATTGTGGACTTATTCGTATAAACATAACAACAAAGAAGTCGTTTGAGAACAAAGTTCTTCAGTACTATATTAAATAATTTAATCACGAATAACTGGTGAATATTTTATTGATATCGCGAATATTCCGAGAACTGTACATTCACAATTGTCATATATTTTTACAAAATTCAAACCATACAATTTATAATACAGAGAATTTTCAAATTAAGAAAAAATGGGGTGAATTTCTCAAACTATTATTGATACAATTTGTATACCCTATAAGCAAAATGTTAACTGAGTAACTTCAAATAAAGGGTTGGTCCCGGTAGGCTGGTTGGTAGTGTGGTAGCCTATTAGTCCTGAGGTTGTGGGTTCGATTCCCACCAGAGTCCCTAATCTGACTAACTACATCGAGCAAATGACCGGTAAATTAGGTTAGAATATAATTTGTAATTGTATTGAGAAAACAAATAACGTCAAATATGTCGAATTTAACTTCAAACTGTTTCTCGTAAAGTGAATCTATCGGGAATTTTTACAGTAGAACTGTGTAAATAGATATTTACGAACACAACCATCTGAATGAACATTCATGATTCAAGAATTTTTGCTGAACTTAAACAATTTGAGGGAAATATTGAGCATACATGATAATATTGATCTTTTATTTCGTAACATTTGCACAATATAGATTTATTCTTAAGTATTGGGTTTTACCTTTTCCGAACTTTCTGGAAACAAAAGAACTGATCATCTTTTGATACCAAGAACGAGTCAATTTCGAAAACCCTGTTCTGAAGTGAAGCGTATCACAGTGAGAGCATTCTGCATCGATCGAAACAAATAGTAGTCGGGTGGGGCAAGGTCTGGACTATAAATCGGGTGAGACAAAACTTCCTAAACACTTTTTTGTAAATAGTTTTTAACAGAGTTGGCAAGATGGACTATTACGCTTTCATGTCTAGGTACATATTCTACATCTGACCCGGTCCTATATAATATATAGGACCCTGTTAGTAATCACCAAAAAACGGAGCATTACCTTTGCGCCATGGATATTTGGCATTGGTGTCTATTCGTTCAGTTTCAGTTTTTCGTAATAGATTCATTTATGGATGCATAGTTGTCAAAATTCGATTAATTTTGTTTAAAACCTTTTTAGATTTTTTAGTTTATAAATTAGTTTATAATTCTTTACTTGAAAATGTAGCTCGAAGTATATAATAAAAAAATTCGTATTTTAAATAATTCAGTATAAAAATCGTATTACTATTAATACAAAACTTATCTTAAACTCATCTTAAATACTAAAAATTTTTAAATAATTTTAAAATTCGAAAAGTTTTTCTTGTAACAACAAATCGCAGAAAAAAATACATAATAAAATGTATAAAACTACATTTAGTAAGTTAAAAAATTATTCTTTAAATAACTACAAACAATATTTCGCTATACGTCCTGGCCTAAAACCACAATCCACTGCAATTTTCCCCGGTATGGCAGCGGGAGCACCGGGTGGTGGAAATGGCATAGCGGAGGGAACTTCTTGAAATTCAGGATTTTTAAATTGTTCCGCCTCATAACCCAGTTGCTTATAAGTCAACGTGGGTGGTTCATATTCTTCTGGGGCTGGCTCTTCCTCTTCCGGTTCTGGATAATCATCTTCTAAGGGTTTCATTTTTGGTGCTAAAGGTTTTTTCAATGTTATTACATCACTTTTCAAGGCGTAAAGATTTTCCTCTTTAATAGAGGAAATAAACAGTTTAGGTAAACCATCAATGGGTTTCTGAACAAAACCATAAGCCAATTTGGCTTCGGGAACTTCAATGGCTTTGCCAGCCTGTATGGCTAAACTTATGCTAATAGGATCGGCAGGTGGAGAATCATCCTTAACTAAAGAGGGCACATATTGAGGTACCATGTAAGAAGTGGGAGCCGCAAATATAGATGGTAAGGCTTTATAGGGTTTGGCGGCTGGACAGCCACAGGGTGGTGGAGGTTTTTTGTACTTTAAAGGAAGAATAAATAAAATATTATTATATAATAGTTAATTTTTTTGTTAATACAATTTTATTTTCTTAATATCTCGCTATTTCAATGTTAAAGTTATATTTACAGTTTTCATATACAATTAGTTTAGAAGTCAATATATCTTTACGAAACATAGCTGATCTTCCGGATGAGTTATTAACGCTAAGAATATTACTTACTTTGGGACAGGGTTTTGGCAATGAAGCCGGCTGTATCATCATTTTACTGCACCAACAGTTATCTCCAATGGGTGGTAATCCTAAATCTGATTTGGGAGGTTTTGGTTTAGGTCTTACAACCTGTATCTCAGAACATGCCGCACAGGCATCTGTACCTTTTTCATTGCAAACACAAGCTGTTTGAATCTGCAATTATTGAAAGATTTGATATTAATAAGTTTTTTAAGTAATAAATTGAAACAATGTTTATGAACTGATTCCCACGAAAATCTTTGCTCCGGAACGTTCCAATTCCCAATCGGTCAAAGTTTATGAACTCAAACGGAAGTTATTTTTACGAAATATTCTAATACTAACTAACTACTAACTAACTAACTAACTAACTAACGAACGAAACTAACGAACGAATAACGAAACGAACTAACGACTAACTAACTAACTAACTAACTAACTAACTAACTAACTAACTAACTAACTAACTAACTAACTAACTAACTAACTAACTAACTAACTACTAACTAACTAACTAACTAACTAACTAACTAACTAACTAACTAACTAACTAACTAACTAACTAACTAACTAACTAACTAACTAACTAACTAACTAACTAACTAACTAACTAACTAACTACTAACTAACTAACTAACTAACTAACTAACTAACTAACTAACTAACTACTAACTAACTAACTAACTAACTAACTAACTAACTAACTAACTAACTAACTAACTAACTAACTAACTAACTAACTAACTACTAACTAACTAACTAACTACTAACTAACTAACTAACTAACTAACTAACTAACTAACTACTAACTAACTAACTAACTAACTAACTAACTAACTAACTAACTAACTAACTAACTAACTAACTAACTAACTAACTAACTAACTAACTAACTAACTAACTAACTAACTAACTAACTAACTAACTAACTAACTAACTAACTAACTAACTAACTAACTAACTAACTAACTAACTAACTAACTGACTGACTAACTCAATCGGAAATTTTTTCCCAAAATCCAATTACTGCAGAACTCTAATGGCGATACTAAATTTTACTAAAATTCGTTCCCGTTTGTCATTATTTGACTCGAAAATTATATGAATAGTCCACTAGCATCGAATAATCTTTTGTATCGAACATACGCTCGGTGTCGACTATGGGTTGGCTCCCCATCATAGACTCTGATAAAAGGGGTCACAACAGGCCCGGCCTAGGCGTAGGTCTAACTATGTCGCACAGTTTCTATAAACTATTCCATCACTGCCAACACTCGTCATCATAGACATTGGATACCATGGAACTGTCTGCAACATAGCTCCTGATTTCGACACATTACATAACTTCACCTAATAGATTTGATTTCGGTGCAGAAATTAAAGGTTGAACTTCAAGACCGAGCAGCGATCTATATCAATATAATTTTAACAAAAATATACCTCTTGTGCTACAGCCACTATTACAGCTAAAATCAAGAACCACTTTTTAGTAGTCATTATCCCGAAAACACGTTAACTCTTGCCACTAATAAATTTGATTTTTCTTCTCTTCACTTTATAATGTTACTTTGATCAATACACTTTTATTATTGAACCTGCAAAATTTAAAGACTTTACCACTTTGTCGAAAAACATTATGAAAAACACACTTTTTTTATAAATTCTAAGAATATAGAAATTTATCTATAACGAATTCGTTCGTGCCGGACGTCATTTATTCAGTGATTGTTGCAGTTGATATTTTTCAATTCTGTTGCTGAGGTGCGCACCACACTCTGGAGTTTGTAAAATCGAAATGATTTCATAATAATAATATTTGTTAATAAAACGTAATTTTAGTGGTGAGAAGTTTTTAAAAAAAATATTTGAAATATTTCTTTAAATAATATAAAATATTTGTAATGATTAGAAATGTTTACAGAATTGAAAATTATGGTAGTTGTTTTTAAAATAAAAATAATTGACAATCTTAAAAGATTTATAAGTGGGTATTCAATAAGTTTAGTTAAAAGCTTGTAATGATCTGTTGACACATAATTTTGAAGGGAATTTGTTAAATATATTCCAGATTTTAGAATGTCTAACATGGTTTTAGAAAAACTATAAAATGTACTTTAACAAAGAGATTATTTTAATAATAGATTAAGAATATTTAATATAAATTTTTTAAGTTTTAATATTTGTTTTTTTTATAATAATTATTTTTTATAATAAATATTACTTGCCTTTTAGCTTCTTTGTTATTTGCAAAATATAGACATCAGGAAATGTTTTCGAAATTTCCCTCCGTTGCCACTTTCTCAATCAAATTGTTTTTAAAAACTGAAAAATTTCACTACAAATTACACTAGCAATCAAAATTTAATTCGTGTAACTAAAAAAAAAATAAAAATTGACACAATTTCTTTTATTTTTGTTTTTTCTTAGAGGTTGCATTTTTTATACAGAAATTATTAATACTATCAGCAAAATTCAATTTAGAACGTCATTTTAAATAATTAACCCATTAGTGTAATGTTTAATAGACAGTCTTAAATTTTTAATAAAAACTTAATCAAACAGATGGTGAATTAAGCCTGAAATAGGTTTTTCCTTTTGTCTCGTGAACCAATTTCTTCTGCTCTTTAAAATAGTGAATGAATAGTTCTAGTGAAATTCATGGTATAAAATTTTTGTTTGCTATATATAGAAAATGATAGGCCCAATAGTGGCCTAGGTGTATTTTTTCGGATTTGATGTACTATACATCCTCCTATAGAACCTATAGAAAATGATAGTTCGCCATTTATTCGCGACAGAATTTAAACAATTCCAAAAGGAATATTTAAGCGGTTTGTTATTATCATATTGTTATAGGAACATTTTTCCTAATGTTCTCTCTATTTATCGCCTCTTAAAAGGTTAATTTAATAATAAGTCTTTGTTTAAACCAATTTAGGTCGTTAAATCCTCATTTTCGTACTTTACTACTTGGAGACAAAATTTTGTTAATTATGTGAAAAAATTGCATTAGTTAATTAACTACTACAACCACATAACAGTTTTATTGTGAATATCAATGTTATCAAATTTAGGTTTCTGTGTAATTTAAGAAATGTATGTTACAAAATTTTTTAAACCAGGTCATGATAAATAATCTAGAACACATAAATATTTGCTAAACAATATGGAGAATAAACGAAAATGTTTATCATTAAAATAGACCATGACACAAATATGATTTTTAACTTGTAAGGACTCAAAAACAAAACTCAATTTCCAACATAATAAGTAAATTTATGTTTTATTCTCAAATTATTGGAAAATTATATTGTTGAATCCCAGGAAAAATTGTATTAGTTTCACAACTGGTTCTAGAAGGCATGATTATAGCCTGTACTCGTTTTATTTTGGCTTTGAGACCAATGATTTTTGTTTGAAATTGTCGACACTTTGTTATGCAGTCGACATTCGTTCTATGGAATACTTCTGGAACCAGTTCTTTCATTCAATTATTTTTGTTCGAATTTGTCACCCTCGAAACTAGTTCTAGGGAAGCTTTTAGAGAACGTATATGTTATACTTTGAAATAGTTTCTTGTTTCTGCGTTTTTTTGTTCGAAAATATTAAGGTTAGGACCAGAATTGAAACTGTTAAGGAATTATTTATTCTTATAGCCATTTTATTTAGAAAACTACTACACCAATCTACCTAATTTTAAAATTCATTATCATTATATTGCCTCCTGTATTCTGTTAATATATTTTTTGTTAGAGGATTACACAGGTCTAGGTCTATAGTCTAGTCTATAGATCTAGTCTATAGTCTAAGTCTATAGTCTAGTCTATAGTCTAGTCTATAGTCTAGTCTATAGTCTGTCTATAGTAGGTCTATAGTCTAGTCTTATAGTCTAGTCTATAGTCTAGTCTATAGTCTAGTCTATAGTCTAGTCTATTAGTCAGTCTATAGTCTAGTCTATAGTCTAGGTCTATAGTCTATTCTATAGTCTAGCTATAGTCTAGTCTATAGTCTAGTCTATAGGTTCTAGGTCTAGTCTATAGTCTAGTCTATAGTCTAGTCTATAGTCTAGTCTATAGTCTAGTCTATAGTCTAGTCTATAGTCTAGTCTATAGTCTAGTCTATAGTCTAGTCTATAGTCTAGTCTATAGTCTAGTCTATAGTCTAGTCTATAGTCTAGTCTATAGTCTAGTCTATAGTCTAGTCTATAGTCTAGTCTATAGTCTAGTCTATAGTCTAGTCTATAGTCTAGTCTATAGTCTAGTCTATAGTCTAGTCTATAGTCTAGTCTATAGTCTAGTCTATAGTCTAGTCTATAGTCTAGTCTATAGTCTAGTCTATAGTCTAGTCTATAGTCTAGTCTATAGTCTAGTCTATAGTCTAGTCTATAGTCTAGTCTATAGTCTAGTCTATATTCTAGTCTATAGTCTAGTCTATAATCTAGTCTATAGTCTAGTCTAAAGGCTAGACTAGACTAGTCTATAGTCCTGTCTATAGTCTAGTCTATAGTCCAGCCTATAGTTTAGTCTATAGTCTAGTCTATAGTCTAGTCTATAGTCTAGTCTATAGTCTAGTCTATAGTCTAGTGTATAGTCTAGTCTATATTCTAGTCTATAGTCTAGTCTATAGTCTAGTCTATAGTCTAGTCTATAGTCTAGTCTATATTCTAGTCTATAGTCTAGACTATAGTCTAGTCTATAGACTATAGTCTAGTCTATAGTCTAGTCTATATTCTAGTCTATAGTCTTGACTATAGTCTAGTCTTTAGTCTAGACTATAGTCTAGTCTATAGACTATAGTCTAGTCTATAGTCTAGTCTATATTCTAGTCTATAGTCTTGACTATAGTCTAGTCTTTAGTCTAGTCTATAATCTAGTCTATAGTCTATTCTTATCTATATTCTAGCCTATAGTCTAGTCTATGTTCTGAATATATACAAATCATTTTGTGAAACGGTCCATAATTAATATCACCCAAACAAGTTCAACTTCTAACAATTACTTAATCTTTAAAAAATTATCTATTAATGATATTCGAATGAAATTCGACACGAATTGCCATTTATTTTAAACTTTTTTTACAACTAGATTTTCGTCCAAATCTTGATATTTCACTAAAATGTCGATTTTATACGAAAATCTATATTTTTTCACAAGAAACTTGATTTCTCGCAAAAAAAAAGAAAAAATGTATTAAGAAAATTGGTTTTCCTTAAAAATTCGATTTTCTTACTAAAAATTGGAATTGTATTAAAAACTTTGTTTTTTACTATAATTTTGAATTTCGCTAAAAATTAGTTTCTTATTAAAATGTGACTTTCTTAGAAAAAAATCTAAAAACTTTAAAAGTGCTATTTCTTGAATTGATTTTTGACGAAAACCTCTGTTAAAGATTGTAGGGAAATTGTAATTATGTGAAAGCAAACAATAACAACATAAACTAACTTTGTAGTTCCGGGGTCAAAAGTTAACAAAAAATATTTGAACTTAATCAGAGGATTATTACAGAATATGAATTCATTGAAACTATTTTAAACTTTCGAACTATTTTTAGTAATCATAAAAACAAATCGTTAATTAAATTTGTTTTTCAAACTGAAAATTTTGAATTTGCCTAATTTTATAAACCTAAACTATTGTTCTAATAAAATTGTCTAGTTTGTAAAAAGAACAAAATTTCTAAATGAAATAAATGAAAACACAAACAACTTTTTAGTTTTTTCATTATCTTCCTGCTCCACACTTGCCAGAGCAATTAAAATCGTAATCAGCAAATTTTTTATTAAATTTTTAAATTCAACATTATCAACATCCTCATTCAAATCGTGATTTCTTGAGTCGTCATCCATAATAAAGCCGTAGTCCAAAAATTCTTGCAATTGTTTCATATAAATATTGCCAGTTGCCAAGTGCTTCCGACAATATTTATACAGTACGACTCATAAGTTGTAAGTGTCGTAGTAGTCGACATCGTGACCGGAAATGAAAGAGGTTTCCTCCAAAATGTTAATAAGCTTGAGTGTGGTCTGCAATGGTTCCACACGGGGTAACTTGAGAATTTTATTATCGCCCACCAGATCTTCGATATCGATGATATTGTTGTTGCAATCATAGACTGGCTTGTGCGAGTCGAAAATGCCAGGTCCATAGTTCATTGCAATAACACCATTGGCAGCCTCTTCGGCGGCCACCGAACGGAAGTACATATCACGTGCCTTTCTGCTGGAACAAAGCAACGAGTTGAAGATCATGGGTTGAATCCATAGACTGGAATTAATGTTGATCATCAGTTTTGGTAAGCCATGCAGTTGTTGGCATTTAATAAATTCCTGATTGAGAGCAATGGGGGCGTAGAGATTTTGTTGCACATACGATTTCCATGATTCGATATTTTCGGGTTCCATCAGCATATGGGTGGCGGCATTGCCCTCATTGTGTACGATAAATGCAAGCTCGAACTGCTTAGAGCCATTAACTTCATGGCTGAGTACAGTGGAAAGTATATTGTGGAATAAATTGTAGTCTGCTTGTTGCCAGTCGTTCAAGTTACAGCAAACGACTTGGATATTACGTTCAAGAGCTTCGATTTCTTTCCGAATTTCTTGTAGATTTTGTTCATCACCATCGATGAGCATGGCGACAGATCCTGCTTTAAAGCGACGACACATTTCAACTGCCAACTCTTTACCCAAGGGATTGGAGACACCGCTTAGG